CGTTGGGAGTGGTGTTCTAATTGGGGAAGTCTATACTCGACTCCCATCTTCGTCAGGTCTCAGCCCTCGTGTTTTCTCAGAGTCCCCCAGAGTCCCCCGAAAGCCCCTGGGGGCCCGACGCTTCGCAGGAAACGTGGACTGGTTAAAGGAAACCGCAGGACCAAAGAACAACCCAATGAGGACTCAATTCATGCATCGTGATGTTGCAAGAACTCGACTAGCACATTTTTTTAATGGAGAAAGCAAGAGCTACAGTATGCCACAGTGACACGTACTCGTTCGACATTGCTGACATATTTGGTGGGACCACTAGACATGCTTGGCATTCCTGGGTGTGCCATGGTTCTTTTTGTTTGCCAATATGGCTGCAGGCCTTTTGCAGACAGGTCCCGCATATCCTTCCTTTCAAGTCAAGAACACGCACCAATATCACTCATTGTATACCAACAATATGTTGATTTTATTGCAAAAATATCAAAAATATACCTATGATTCCTATGATTGGAGAGCTACCAGCTACCAGCTACCAATTGCGTCCTGCCACTAGGTTAGGAGCAGCAATGCTTCAGCTCAATGCTTTGCTAAGTTCCTTGCACTCCGACTACGCCTTTGTCTTCACAAGTGTTATACAACCCGGATTCTTAGCATGGCTATTGCATGCTAATGCGGAGCACGAAGTGATTCCAATCTAATCAGTGTGGGGCCACTCACCACCTTCTTGGTCTGTCCCCAACACGGTGCCGTCTCCAACGAAGGGTCGAAGCGTTTTTCGCACAGCTTTGACAGGCTGAACTTGGCCCGGAACGACCTGCCGGGTGCAGCCTTTGATGAGCCGGGTGGCCCCAGAACGACAGACCCAGGTTCCTTCGACGTCACATGATTCACATGGAACCGGGCGACAGGCATGGACCAGACTGGAAGACGATGTTCCGAATACCAAGCCGGGCGTGGTTTTCAGGTTTCGGATCCATCCGTTGAGAGCGATCGGCTCCAAACAGGACCATGGCGGACCACACAGAGCGCCACGAGTCCGGCCCTTCCCTGAAACAGGGGTACCGAAAAGGGTAAGGTAGGTACAAGATCAAATAGATCATCAGACCAGGTCGACCTGTCAGGCTGAACTCCACAGTTTTGGAGCTGTCACATCCTGTCGCATCCTTGTCATGGGCAAACGGCCTGGTGTAGGAGTTGGAAGGAACTCTTGGTGAACTGTCTTGACAGGCTTGGAGGGATTGACGAACTGCCTGGTCAACCAATCTCAACTTGCGAACCACTAACCCCCAAAACAAATTCTATAGGTTTGGGTTGAGTTTCATGCAAGTGCGATGCAAGCTGGGTCTCACAGTCTCACATGATCCTTGTTTTTCTCTTGAATGGAATTTCTGGAGAAATTCCGAAACAATCCCACGAACATCCTTAGGAATACGCCTATCATTGTCTCAATTTGGGGTAGAGGTTGATGATGGATGACGAGTCAGGTCTCACATTCATCACCCTGCTGGCTTCGTCGGATGAAACACCTCCTCTTTCGCTCGGCCGACGCCCGGCCTCGTCGCCAGGCTGGCGACCTTCTTGCGCAGCGAGCCGGGTGGGGCCCCAGGGGCGGAGGGGAGGACAGAGGTGACATGGAGTGAGCAAGGTGGAAAGGAATCCGATCAACTGGCAGCCACGATTCTGATTCAATCTGATTCATGTGCCATGGCCTGATGGTCTTTGCACTGACACTGGGCAAGCAACCTTCGCTTACTGATGGGCAAGGGAATTGTGAATTGTGTCTCATGATCTTGGAGGAGGCCAGTTCCGCTTACTTGTCCCTTGGTCCTGCGAAGATGTTTTTAACCAATAAATATAGTATATAAATTATATAAAAATTAGAAACATCCGGAGCGGGCCCCTTACTGTACCATTTGGAGAAAAGATAGAATCATCACCGGAAAAGTCCTGCTGGAACTCATCGAAATCGTTGTTCGCGTATGAACGCTGGCTTGTTGAACTGAATGCAGGCCAGAGGCTGAGTGACTTGGACATTTCCGGCAACGGTGCCACCGTGGAGGAGTGTGGAGCCTCATGTGGAACGCGGGTTGCGACCGTGGAACGCGCGTTCGCGACCGTGGCGGCCTGTGACCCAACGAGCTCTTGGTACGGCTTTGGCTTTGGGCTTCATGCGCCCGTGAAAACAGAAGACATCACGGGATGCCTGTGCCTTGCTTGAACATTCTAAGAGTATGTTTGTTGTTGTTGATCTATTATATCCTGAAAGAGTTATAGGAGGGCGACCTCAAGGACCCTTTTAAAGTGAGGTGAGATTCTTTCTTTGGGTTGGGTTAGGCGGCTTCTGTGTGGCTTTTGTCTGTGGCTGTGTGGCTTTTGTGGCTTTTGGCTTTTATGTGGCTTTTGGGTTGTGTGGCTTTTGTGGCTGTTGGCTTCTGTGCGGGTTTTTGATGACTTTACTAGTCAAAATCTCTCATTTTGACCCATTGCAGTCGCTACTTTTGATAATTGATATATCGATGCCGGATTATCTTGATATTGAAATCTCAACGGTTTTCTGGTAAAATCGCTTGTTTAAAATGAACTTTATATTGAACTCTCTCTTTTGATGGGGGAGGCGCTGCACCCCCTCCCGCTCTTTATGAGCATTAAAACTTATTTTTCGTTTGTCCTTCTCTCTCTCTCTCTCTCTTTTTCTTAGGTGTCTAGGGCAAACCAGTCCATACAAAAAAAAAAACACTTGACCTAGGAGCACCAGCAGCAAAACAATGGAAGACATTTCTATCGTGATGCCTCTTCTATCGAAATTTGTTGTGCACTTTTCCAGTCAAAATATCTACCTTTTCTCCTGAAACATGTTTGATGAATTGTTTACTGAATTCTTTGCTCTTGATGACTTTACTAGTCGAAATCTCTCATTTTGACCCATTACAATCGGTACTGTTGATAACTTTTCTGGTAAAATCGCTATTGTCTTTTATATTGAAATCTCTCTTTTGATGAGTTTTCTATTGCATTCTTTGCTTTTGATGACGCTTCTAGAAATTTACACTTGCAATGCCTTTCCCATTGAGAACCACACAGACCACCAAAAAGGAACCAATTAAAGTCACGACCCGTTATTGTACGTTAACATCAAGCACCACAATCAATTCAACACAAGATGTTCTGAATCCTGAAGGGCGTTTTTGTTCGCAAGCAGGTTTCTATCTCTTTGCGGGCCGAAGTCCAAATCCAGATGCGTTAGCAAATGTGGGCAACGCTTGGAAGGATCAAAGGTAGCCAGGGTGAGTTCAGCAGTGGCGTGAGGTGAAGGCTTGGATTGGATGAGGCTGCTACTGGTACTGTTGAATGAATGAAGGGTTGCTGAAAGTGGGGGCAGATGATTTTATCTCTGTCAGGCATGCGATTCCTGTATATAGGCGCCTTGGGCACCAAGGCATGCTGTACCAAGCCAGCGGATGTGGATGAATTGGATGAATTGGGGGCTGGGTGGCTTTTGACATTGATATGTTGGGTGGTGTTTTTGCATGTGCTACTTTCCTAGCTTTGCTTTCTCGCTTCTCGGCATTGTTGACAAGGTTTTGTAGTGTAAAACTCCTGGTAAAACAATGGTTGTTTAGTAAAGCCTGTTAAATTAATGGTGGTTGGAATCCTAGGGCATAATATGCATATGTATTTGTATGCAAGCGGAAGCCACTCTGGGGTGGCGAGAGGGAGAGAAGGAGATAGAAAGAGACAGTGCTTCACGAAGAGGCATACCATGTGCTTCAGCAGGACAAACCGAAAGGCACGACGTGCTCAGAGCCCTGAAAGTCAAAGACCATTTAAAACATGGTTGATCTGGTTTTGTAGTGTAAAACCCTTAGCAAAACAATGGTGGTTCGGTAAAGGCTATTAAAACAATGGTGGTTCGACTTCTAGGGCAGAGCAAATCTACGCGAGAATGATCTCTTGGAGGGCCACTTTCCATGGCAAATACGGGGTGTTCTGCTTCCATGTTAGTGAGTCGAAGTGTAAGACATGGCTGGCGCCCAGCTCCTGTGGCACAAATATGAACAATCATGAACAATCCTTTTGATGGGCAACACATGGCAACGCCTCAGCGTATGCACGGGGTTCCGCATTTCATGACTGGCCCGAGGGTTGAAGTCAGGAACACTCTTTGGACCTGAAGAGGTGAATCTAAAAAGCGCAAGCCTCCTGCGTCGGGCATGGGCGCATCTATTAGCTCTAAGAAGCTAGTAGAAACAAGTGCCACGCTAGTAGTAACAGGTGCCTTACTAGTAGTAACAAGAAGCTAGTAGAAACAAGAATTAAAAGTAGAATTATCACGGGAGATGTGTTGTCCCACCGTGCCTCCCCGAAGCTGAGGTCCTGCAGCAGAGTGGTTGGACACGCCTTGCTGGACAAGCCCGGGGTTGACATGCAAGAGTTTGAGAGTGGTTCCTTTCATGGTTGTGCTACACTTGAGCGCTCAAAAACGCAGAGCCGCAGAGCTCGTCTGAGCCACGCCGCCCGGCGGCTCACCGACCGCCGCGAGGACAGCAGCGGCAGTCAGCGAGGCCCTGCGTTTGGCCCCACCGGGTCAGGTATAATATGCCCATCCAGGTCGCTGCACACACCACCCGCCGCACACCAATGACAGAGTGAGTCAAAGAACTTCAGGTTTTGCCAATGTTGAAAACACGTGAACTTTGCCCAAACCTGTTGCCCTCACGTGACCTTCTTCCTCAACGTGACGTGCTGAAAACACCCCCAGCAGCAATGTAGTTTGTGGCCGTGAGGGCCTGTATTTACATCGGGTTAGTATGGGTTAGTTGGTTATAGTTCCACCCACGTGTGCGGCATGAAAGCATGAATGCGGCAATTGTACGCAGCCATTGCTAGCTCCCACCATGTGGCAACATGGGCGCGGAAGGGAGGTGAACAGGGAAGGCGGTCCAATGAAGCCACCTGCAGCTGTTGGACACCTTTTCGGGGGCATGTCAATTTTCAACCATGCTGTTTCTGCAGGGAGGGCGCAGGGGACTAGCATTCATGGAGAAGGCAGTGGAATTGCCGCACGCGTGATGAGCATGGATGCACCAAAAGCGTGCCTTATTTTGAACATGGAAGGTGGTGGGCCTCAATCCAAGAAGCGTGGAAATAAAGAAAGACCCCTTACAAAACCATGTTTTTCTTTAAACTTTAAGCGACTTTTGTTTCCACTTGCATGATGAAGAAGGATAAGTCTTACGTCGTAATTACGCGTTGTGAGTTCTACAATTTGGGATGGTCGAACGTTGATGTACGTTTCTTGAGAGACAGTTTGGATGCTGCACAATTTCTGCCAGAGATTGGACAGACTCCACATCGAGGAACACAATAGAAAATATGAAACAAGATTGGCATTCAAAAAGGCGGACTTATTTTTTAGATTGTAGGTTATAGATGGCAGCTATGACGGGTACTGTAACCACAGTTTGTTTCAACGAGTGTATATGTGTTTTAAAACGTCGGACGCCCAGACTCTTCCGCCCAGACTCTTCCAAGGCTAAGCCTCTCCAAGTTGCCTTACACTTGCCCTTTGGAACACATTCGTGTTGACACCTTGCGCAAGGCGACGGGGCACACCGGCGTTCAGCATTCGGGTTCGATGAAGAGGGAGCACAGGGGGAGCCAGTGGTGTTCATGTTTCCTCCTTTGGCCAATATCGTTTCACATGACTGACAACCCCCATTCTGGAGCCATGCATGTATGAATCAATGGCGAGTTGAGGTGTGCGTCGATCTTTGTCCAGCACTGTCAATGGTTTTCAGGAGGGGGATGGGGGGCCCAAGTGATGCGTGCATTTCATGCAAAAAACATGAATGCCATAGGACCCGTCACAAAAAGTTGGAACATGTTGGAACCATCGAGAGATAGAATGCCTGCAAACGTGGTTGAAACGCGAAACTTGCATTGCGGCAGACCTGGTCATATTTGTATATAGGGCTTGTCCCTGTAACAGTCAGTAAACCATTATCACTACTTTTGGACTGTCGGCCTGCAACTGAACCATCATCATCCACTGAAACCTGGTAATAGGATAGACCCAATTTATATATGACAACAGTTTGACCTATGAGCAAGAACGCTACTAGTAAGCCCGCTTTCTTTCTTTCCTTTTCTCCGTTTGTTTATATATTGGGCATTGGGAGAGCTGGGCTGAAAAGAATCCTGAAGAGTCCTTTCTTCCTTCCCTGCTGCTTCCTTGCCTTTCTTCCCGGTCTTGCCCATTTCCGAAGCCCTGTTCTCCCCTTTCCTTCCTTAATTTGTTTTTCTATCCCATGCCTTTTCCTCTTCTTTCCTTTTCATCATGCTCCTGCAAGGCGTTCTACGTCTACACGGTTCTTTGTTGAACATGTTCCTGCAAAGGTTTTGCAGAACATGACTGCAGTCGGACTGAAAGATAAAACGGCATGCCAAAACTTCACTGAAAATGGGGTAACTTGTGCTTGATTGTAGGCAGTCTACGTGACAAAGGTTGACTGGTTTGGCGAGTCATTCTAGACATGTCTATATCCTTGATCAATCAGTCAGCACTATCCTTAGAGCCGAGGAATCCAATTGGCCTTACTAGCTTCACAAGAGCAAATTCAATATGTGGATCTATAATGCTCCACCCTGCTACGTATCGTTTTGTGATGTTTTGTGTGCTCTTCCATTTTTCCCCATCGACTGCAATCCAAATGAGCTACCAGGCCCGGCCATGCCCTTGGCTTTGCTTGAAGCCTATGCAGCCTTGCGTGTGCCAGGAGCAGTGGGCATGTTTGCGGTAGAAAAGAAACGTTCACGTGCCACAGGGGGGATGGGTAGCCTGGAGGCACTGGGATGTGTTGCGACCCTCTCAGGGAAAAAAAACAAACGCTGCCTTTTTCGAGGTCCCAAGACGAGACGTTCCTGGTTTTGCTGGTTATGTGTTTCCCTGTGGGCCATGGGTGAATATGTGTTAGTCGTGTGTGGGAATATGTGGTCTTTTTCTCGGATCCTTAAGCAAAGCCAAGCATTTGCAGGAAAGACCCGCTGATCATTGACTGGTTTTCCAAGTGTCTAAGCAGATGGACCCGGCACGGCAGGGTGGAACTAGTAGCTTCTTGTTACGGCCAGGAGCGCCCCGTTCGTAGCGTCCGAACGCTCCGTTCGAGTCGCGATGCCCCCAAGGGAATCGTTCGGTCGCGATGCTCCGAAGACGACTAGCCATCATGGCCATCACCGTCCGCCTCCAAGAGCGTCCATGTCAATGACCAGAAAAAGGGCCCTGATTGGATCCTGTTTCCAGGTTTCAGCCTGCCACGGCTCTCGGCTGACGATCATTTGCTACAACTGAGCAGATGAAATAGCATGAAGTTGGATGAAGCGATGTTCTCGAGCGAGTCGTGGGTTCTTTTTTTCGTGGGACATGCATGGACATGCACTTCTTCTTTTGGAGGTCGGGGCCACCCGTGTGAAGCTCAAGGGCAAAAGAATGCACAAGATCAACCTTGATCTTTCGCTGTTGTGAGTCAGCAGCCATGACCAGGTCAGTGCACAAGATGTTATAATGTTCGCCGTTGTTCAGCCTCTTCACATCGGGAGCGTGATGCGCAACGATGAGTCTTTTTCGGTGTTTTCCGTATGACTCCTCGATGGTGCAGGATCTTGAGCTGGTTTTCCCACGATACAACCTCAAGGCGCAACCCACTGAGCGTCGAGGGGCGCGCGCGAAGAGAACGATCAGCAGGGAGCAGGCGTAACTGGCTGGGGCTGTCAGTTGCAACTTATAAACTCCAAGCCAAGCTCCTCCTCCTAGCATTGCCCTTTGCTGGCCCAGAGCCACTGGTTTAGCTATTTGTTCATGTTTGTGTGTTTATCATTGGTTCAAAGGCAAACGGAAGGGTAGTGCACAGAAAGGGTTTTGCAAAAACCTATTCAACTAACGTCATGGAAGGCGCGTGACCTTCGTAGAACCCAAGGCTGTTCGTGGACAGTTCGTGGAATGGTGGGCCAGTAGGAGAACTGACTGCAACGAAATCCCAGAAACCTTCGCAGAACTTCGTGGAAGGTATTTTTGATGCACTAATTTCGTATAAGCGATTTTTGCTGACCCCCTTTCTCCACACACCCTCCGTTTAGCCTTCATTGGTGATGTCCGCAGTTTGTGTGTGTGTGCCCAAAGTTTAACTGCGAACCAATTTCCGAGGTCAATGCCAAGAACGCATGGTAAAGCGTTCTTTCCTCCTTGGGGAAAAACCGCGCTCCGCAAACATACCAGGCCTCAAATCGAACTTGCCGCCGAATTATGTCATAATAGCAGAAGCATGACCCTGCAGCAGTGCACAATCAAAAAGTAAAGCACCCATACAGATCCATACGGACAGTCAAGAAAGAATCCTCAAGTTTTTCGCGACTGCGACGTTTTCTGCGACTCTGTGACCCGCACAAACTGCGCCCACAGCGCTGTCTCCTGCAACGCTCACAGTGCCACAACTCACATTAAACATTCAAGAGTTCTGGCACATTGGACAAGAATGACAAGCATGCAACAGCACAAGGTTGCAAGACCCAGAACAAACACCAACAGATACATTCTAGGATGGTCAACGAGAGTGTCCCTATGCTGAGGCCAAACTCAGCGCTCCTCAAATCAGAAGGGACGGCCAACTCATCTCGTCGATTTGGAACGAGCCAGTCCCCAACAAAATACATAGTAGAAACAAGTAACAAGTCGTTCAATTCTTGCATTGAGACTCTGTCACAGCATGATTCTGCGCGTTCACCTCTTGTCTCCTTTGTCCCGCCTCCCGCAGTGGGAAAAGCACATGCTTTTCAAAATGATGGCAAGTGCCAAGCCAAGCCAGACAACCAATTTGCATCAATTTGCGTTGGTTCATGGGTGTGGCAAGCATGCTGTGGACGGTGTGTGGACGGTGTGAGCAACATTCAGCAACCAGACCCAGATCATTTCCTCGGTGCAATTCCCTGGCCAGCTGGTTCCAGCCGACACCCTGCAGGCAGATGCGGTGATCACTGACTTTGAGGCCATGCTGGTGCCATGAAATTTGAGATTGCGTAGAACTTAGAACTCCCACTATTCTGTTAGACCTGGGTGGACACTTTTCGTTCGAGGCGCTTAACCCCTCAGTACTATAGGTTGGAAGAAATCATTTCTAGTGCACTGCTTGATGTTGAGGGCATCGACGTAATGGATGCTTTTCCTTTACAGGGGATGATGAGGAGGATTCCGTCACCCAGTGCGAAAAAAAACAATCTTGCGGGCGTGTCTTCCTCAAGTCCGGGTTGACCAGCTGGCGCTGAACGAACCAGCTGGCGCTGCCCGACCCGCCAGGGATGGAGATCCTTGCCCTACTTGGCACGGATGAAGCGGCTCCTCGTGAGCTCCACGCGTTCCTCGCCGAGGTTTGCGAGGGTTTCGGTAGAAAGCTCTTGATCCGGGAACATTTGAAAAGCTTCGTTTGACTCGGCCACGTGTCTTACAAAAGGAATAAGTGTCATTTTTGAAGTCTCTTATGGGTAAAAGAGGGGCAGTAGCATGCAGTAGCTAATCCTGAGGAGTCCATCCGCCGATTTTTCCGCCGATCGTTTTGGACTCCCAGAGTCATTATACTAGGGACGCCCGAGACGGAGACCCCAAGGCTACATCGCTTACTCCAGTGACGTTGGGGAATCCCTGCGGCCGGTGTTGAGGCGCGTCGACTGTCGATGCGGGCTGGGTGGTTTGAAGCTTCGCTTGGTGCGGCGTTGGAGTCGATTCTGCCAGATTTGCCAGAGTTCAATTCCGCACTGAAAGAGCCAGCTCATACAACCGCAGCCCCATCCACGAGGCTTTGGCAGGTAAACTTCACCTATGGCATTGCGGGGCTGTATGTGCTAGGCCGGGGCCAGTTTCCTGCGAGAGTGGTCGAAGGTCGTGCACTCCTTGCTCGGCAGCTCCCCTTCTGACTTTCATGGAAGCATGAGCGGTCTCCACAGACAAGGCCCAGGAAAAGGCCTTTGTGCTGTGAGGAAGTGTAGAGTGGCTAGGCCCTTTCAGAGTCACACTATGGGCATCAAATTGGCCCGTGTCACTATGACTCTTAGATGAAAAATGATTGAAGTAACTATTGAAGTATGTTGAAGTGCAAAAACATGTTCCTCCATGTTCCTCATGCGTTCGTCTCGTGTCACGGGCGTTCGTGGATGATTCCCCCAGATTTCAAGCCAGCTCTCGAGCTGCCCCCCTGACCGATTGAATCCGTACTCAGTTTTGGGGGCGGGCGGCCCAGAGGAGATCTTCTTTGGTCGGTTTTTCATGGTTTTTCATGGTTTTGGCCGTTGGGCAAGTTGGGAGACCTGCTTCTGGAGAAAGGACTTCTTAGAGGATCGACTGATCTTCTAAGAATTCTGGCAGAGGCATATGGGAGCCCGCAAGACATCCTTGAAGGCACAGGATGCCATCAAAGAGCCGCATCCAAGGTTCTTTCTTGTGAGCTGGTTGGTCTCTCTTGCTCCGTTTTGGCCAGCGATTGAAAGAACCATGTTGCTTAAATCGATTGAGAATCCGGGACTCAAGTCGCTCTCAGCATCAGGTGAGACTGTGCCTTGGCGGCAGCGGAGTTGGTCTGTCGCGAGTAGACCAGCATCCCATGTCACGCCGACAATTAGGAGTGGACAAGCACCTGAATTCTGAATCTCCATGTCAATTATTAAATTATTAGGGTCCAGGTTGCTTCTTGTTGCTATTTTTGTCCCCTCGCCTCAGTAGAATGAAGCCTGGCAGTTTTCATGAAAAGCTTCGTAGCTTCATGGCGAGCCACGAGATCATGCCAAGATCTGTGGCTTTAAAGGCTAAACTCTTCAGATTCTGATAGCTTCTGCAAAGTTTTGTCGCTTCAAGGAGGCTGATGTTTCTAATGTGCGTTGGGAATCCTTTGACTAGGGAAGAATGCCAAATTTCACCTGGGTGTGAGTCACAGACTGCAAAACTGTGATGTTGAAGTGGTTCAAAGCCTCTTGGAGCTGCAGTCAGCTTGATATGGACAAGGTAGGTTGCCGTGTATCAAGATCTCAGGTTTCCCATGGGTTCTGAAATCACCAGCCCTTCTAGCTTGCCTTGCGCGGTGGTGTGTTCGCCGCGAAGCGGCCAGGGTGACGGACCATTCTAATTACTCTTCAGCTGTGGCAGAAGCATTATATATATATATAGTTATATACTATATATATAGTGTGTGTGTAGCAGGATATGTCAGATGTGCTGGGGTGTGCATACATGTGTGTATATATATACAGTATATACATAATGTGTGTGTTGCCTGTGTGATTAATAGATATCCTGCAACACGAGCACCGGAAGTTCCTTTGGGCCATTGATTTGACCCCAGTTGGCCGCTGCGTGATCTCTCCGTTGCCTCCCAGGTCATGGCTGGATATAAACAACGTGCCCCTCGGCCGAGCAGCTGAGCGGAGACTTTCTGGCCGCTGGCGGCTGGGTGGACTGGTTTGTTGCCCTGTCTTCTAGGGGGTCCAACTACCCGGGAGGTTATTTCAATACACACCCAGCTCGGGCTGCACCCCTTAAAACCTCCACGACTGTTCTTAGGCCCTTAGGCATGCCTATGGCATGCCTTTGGGTTTCCTCCTACCGGCCAACGGCACCACTTTGTCCAAGACAAATTGTGCAGCCATTGCTTTGAACCTTCATCATCAAGACTTGTTGGCGCTTGATGAGACACCCAGAGAAGGTGGTGGTTCTAGCACTTTGGACAGGTAAGATCACATAAGATCACCCTTTTTGCTCACGTGCAGCAGGTCAATGGCAAATGGTCGATTGGTCGGGTCATGTGGCCCAAGACCATGTCACATCCCTATTGGCTGTAGTACAGGATTCCATGCACTGGGGTGGTTGGCCATGATTGGCCAATGCCTGGGCGATGGCAACGATGCCCGTTTCCTGAGGAGAGCGGTGGCAACGAGGCCTCAGACGCTCAGAGTGGTGAAGTAGCACTAAGTGTCTCAGCCACCACTCCTGCTGTCTCAGCCAGCACTCCTGGGTCAACTTGAAAGATATTATGGGAACAGCTGCTGCTGCTTCAAATTGAGAGGCCCTCGAATTAGCTATACAGTTGATGGGCCTTGCTGCCCCCGCCCTTCGGATTCTGCCGTGAACCTTTGCCTCACTAACCAGAGACCAATTCTGGGGCCTGGCCAATACCTTTGCTCACCTGATCACAACCCGATAAGGGCTGGTGAGAACCGGATCACCACTCCCTAGCCATATCGGGCGTTTGTGGATGGAACGGTCGCTGGCAAGTTTCCAGTGGCCGTTTTGTCCAGCTTTTCTCCTTTCTTTTTACAGTAGACTCAAAAAGCAGTGGACTGGTTTCGCTTCAACCTGCTTTTGTTTGCGTGGCAGGTGGCTGCTGCTTGCGCACACAGCTTCCTTTTCCAGATGTTGGCATCGTTGGCCTTGCCAGCCGCGGCTTGGCAACTTGAAGGTGGTAGGCTCGATGGGGAGACCAAACCCCTGTAGCCTCGTGATGCTTGGTGGTGATTTACAGGAAACATCATGAAACATCACCCAGAATCAGAAAAAGACGCCGAGCGATTCAAACCCTTGTCAATTGGAAAGCCAACCCTCCCCCAAAAGAATTGATTTACTGTATATATAATAATGCCTTGTGACACGAAGTAACTGTTCACAGAGCGGGGTTATTATATGGCCTTTTCCTTTTTGTGGAACCTTTGTGGAACAAGTGTGGACCTGAAGTGAATGAAGGCACGTGGCCTGCGTTCCTTTCGCAACGACGTGGCCCAAGGAAGTACACGTGTCGTGAGTTGTGGGCCGATGTGGGCCCCAACAGGAGCTCACAAGTAGTTCGTTGGTTCAACTCGAGACCTCAGCTTCGTCCCATGGTCCATGTTCATACCCTGCTCCATACCACGGCAACTTCTCACATTGTTTCTTCTTACACCTCGAAGCAGCATGCCGGCGCCTCCAGACCGAAACACCAAAAACGGAGTTGGGCTGTAACCTGAACCTCCCCCCTCGCGAGGGAACGGACGAAACTGTACAGCGGACTGGGCTGGACTGGGTCTACGCGGAGGAAACTGGAGAGATTCGCGTTTCGTTGATCGACAACGTGTAACTAATTGGAGTTGGTGTATTTTCTGGCGGTAGCGGGAAGTTAGTAGGCCAGAGCGGGGCCAGGAAAACAGCAATGAAATTAAGGAATGCCATAGCCTTGTGATTCTCATTCTCCACAACGAGTTGCCGAGGCGATTCTTGCTTGATGTTTTATCACCCTAATACTAAGAACCCTTGGTCCCTCCATGGCAGGGGTTTGACCCTCAAATGCCTTCCCGTTGGTTCGGGCCATGTCGCCCAGGTGATCATCCACACGGTGGTGCACCAGGCTTCGGGGGTTCGTTCACAGCGTTTGTTTGGAAAGACGCCATGTAAGGCGCGCCCAAGGCGTCTAGTGACATGGACGGTTTAGTGACATGTAGTGACTATGAACCATCCAGTGACTATGGATCTTCTACCGGGTGCCATGCGGCGTCCCATCTCCATCTCCGTCCACACCCACCGAACCGGACCTACACGACCTACGAAGTGGAGAAGCTGCCTGATTCGGAGGGTCCAGTCATCCAATGTTTGCGGGAAAGGCCCAGTTTGCTCTCTCACCAGGTGCAGCATGCCTTGGAGCGCCCACGGCTGGTGTCATACCCGAAGCTCATGAGGTGCGGGTGGTGAGTGCCGCGGAGCCGTGGCATTATGAGCGCACAAGATTGATTGTCTCTCTAAAATGTGCCCCCCCACAAAAAAGAATAATAGGTATAATATATAAGAAGTAAAAGTTCCAACCTGAGTTCCCAAGTCGGTAATCAAGAAGGACTCAGGTGCTGAAAGACGAGGGTGGTGACAGTGGTGTTTGGGAGGCGCGCTCTCGCCGGAGCAGGAAGAACTACGGGGGGAAGTCCTCTGTCAGGTGAATGTGTTGACATCCAACAAACCTGGATGTTGTTTGCCTCCTTGGGATCAATGTTCAATGTGGTTGATTCCCGATCCAACCTTCGGGCAGACGACGACGCAGACGACTACGCAGATCTGCACGATTCGGGTCCAAGAGTTTCCAGAAAGGAGTCAAAGATAGTCAAAGAGTCCAAGTGTGCTGTTTCAGGTATGGCCCCAGCTGCATTGGCCTTGGCCTGGTGCCTTTCATGCCATTGCTGGATCCGCCTTGCGCCCCTCGGAGATGGACGTACCAGGGGGCTGGTCCTGGTCCTGGATGTACGTGAGTTCGATACATCAAGAAAGTGGCCATAGGACTTATACGGACTTGTGAAAGGATGCCGGGGCATTTTCTCCTATGACATCAGTTTCTGCAACTGACATGTGTAAGAATCATGGCATCACAAGTCCTGTGTCATCATGCTGGGGTATAAAAGAGTGCCCCTAGATCAATGCTCAAATCGCATGGGATGTTGTGATTTTGTGATATTAAACTCAGCTCGAAGATCAGTGGGTGTAGTGAGCAGTGGCTCCAAACTCCTTTGCCACTTTCAGCACATGCAATTTGTTTGAATGCACATGGTGTCACATCATGTGGTTGGTGTTAAATGTCAAATTCAGCGCAAGGCCTCCCCTTTTCTTGTTGGGCCCAAAGATCTAGAGACGTGATTGTTCCATATGTTTCCCCATTGTCACCTGCCGACAATCAACTATTTTTGGATATCCACCGCTTGAGTCCTGTTTAATTGTGTTTCTTTTGCGTCGGGGTCTCCCAGGAACAGGTTAGCAGCAAGGGGGTGAGGCATTGATTTGCTTAGCTATGCGCCAAAGAGTGCCTTAGTGCGCACCTAGTCTGACCTAATTTCTCTGTGTTGACGTCTGCATGGCGGTTTCCATGGGTTTCGATGCTTCACGTTCGGTGAGATGTCTCACGTCGAACCGAACGGTTCGCTTGAGGAGTGGGTGGTCGACTATCTTTTTGAGTGGTGGTATCCAGATCGGAAGGCTTAGCTGCCACTTCGGCGGGTGGCACAAACCTCAGAAGGATTCGGAAGGACCGAGGGGTGAAAGATGGTGAAACCCTCAACCACCCGGTCCAGCCACTGCATGGGCGGTGGTGAATTGGTCAATTCTTTGGTGTCAATATGACCATGCACAGAAGGCCCTAGAAGGCCTGAATTGAATGCTTTTGCATGGGCTTGGCGAGGCAGGTGGGCTTTTGAGTGTCCGGACACACCGCCCGCGTGCGCAGAGTGTTGCTTCTCCAATACTTGCGACCTTGGCATGACACCCGGACTGGCCCAAAGAAATGTTGTCCACGGCCTGCCCAAGAAGGGCACGGTAAGTCCAGAGCTGCTGAGAGGGGACACCAGGGACCGTGCACCAGTTGAATGAGTGATTGATCATAAGTCCTGGGACTTTGCCCTGGAACCATTCCCTTTTTGGGGACATCAAGGACACTGAATGTTGCAACCTTTTGCCACCTTTTGATGTCAGTGCGCTCCGACCAACCAATTGGACCTCGTGTCCGAGCATCTGATCCCCCAAAAAGCAGCTCAGCCTTGTACAGCAGCCACTTCCGTACAGGTGGGCTCGAGGTGCAATGAGAAGTCATCCCTGTGCTGGGTCGACCACTTGAACTGATGCTCGATCACAATCAGGTCCATGTGATCCATTGACCTCAGAGTTCTCATAAGACTTAATTATATGGAATATAACGACTTATGTGGGACTAATTATAATAATAGGGAGTATATGTGGGACTATCTATAAGTACTGTTATATGTATAGGGAGTTCTCATAAGACTTATATATAACGACGGACGCCCACATTCCTATGTTGTCAACGTGTTGTCGACATCGCAGTGTCCATGTCCAGACCCATTGCACGTGATGAGCACTGCTTGGATTGCATCTGATGGTTTTGGACAGCTGGGCAAGATGTTTGCTTGCTACTACACGGACCAGCCTCCGATGTTTCAATGGAAACACGGCAACAGCTGCTACCGAGCTTGCTGCTGGAGGTTGTAGAGAATCGTCTATCTGTTGATGAGCTAAAACACCGCAGCGTTTCTCGGTGTGTAGACGGGCATGGAGAAGGGTCACGATGGTCATATCTCATGCCAAGTGCACTCCCTGGATGGCGCAGATGGCGCCACCTGTTTGGTATTCGGACACTTGTCATCCTGTTGGGGCCATGCCATCCACGGGTCCCATGATTCTTCGATTCTTCCAGGGAGTGCACACCCATGCAAAGCTCCTTTGCCGGCTTTACATCACACTTTTGCACCCAGCATGGCAGGTTGCAAGGCTCGTTGGGTGACCCCTGCCTAAAATAACAGCCACAAGACCTCCAGGCAGCTGTATGAAGCTTTCTCTTGGAGGCCGGCTGCCCCGCAGTGCCCGGTGGAACAACAGCAAATCAGCAAGGTGTTGCATCACATAGTTGAAGATCCAGAGTTTCTCACAAATCCTGTTTGATGGTGTTTATTTTGCACTCCAGCTTCCCAGTAGCCCACTACAGACACGTTCAATCTGATTGTTTTTTGTGTTGAGCTGCTATTGCTGTGGGGTTCATCATGGTTTATCCATTTGCGGTTTCCATGCAATTGTTCGAATGCATTCTCCACCGGTGCAGTTGGTTTTCCAAGTGGAGAGAGGTCAGACAGTCTGGCGTTTGCTAGGCACCAAGCCATTCTTCGATCCAGCATATGGCCGTTGGGTCAGGGCCTCACATCCAGACCGCACGAACTGGTCAGCGAAGTACCCCAAACCTGGTGAGATGGAAGATCCTCAGATAGATTCTAAGATAGGCTCATGGGACTGGTCACATGTGGACTGCTTCACAGCTTGAATAGCCTGCATAAATCCTCAGATAGATGCTCCATCAGTTCGTGTTTCAAGGATCTGAACTTGTACCAGGTGTCGTCCCTCGCGGCTCCCGTGTCGGTCAACTCAGGATGCCGGACCACAGCTGTTGACGGTTTTGAGATCACCCAACAGCGACTTGGCCAGACAGCGACCGGTGGTTCCTGAAGCCATCCCGGGGACTTTGCTGAACCAGAGATGCATAGGATAAAGGATGAGCTGTGCCGTTTTCTTTTGCCAACTGGTGATTTGGTCATCGACTTGCCGACTGGAATGCTCCTACTTGCTGACTGGAATACCCCAGCGTGGGATGAAGTACATCCAATATCTATGCTCAGGGAACCACTCATTTTGGCCAACCCAGGTCAGCTTTTCTCCTGGCTTTTGCACATGCCCCATGTAGCCAAATTTTCCCCAGCCAACCTAGAACTCAAAGGACACTTTCTTGAGACTGATCACAAACCAATATTATGCTTTGGCCCATAAAAGATGACTGAGGTGTGCTCTATGATTGGACTTCTACCCGCAGTCTTGCAGCAGGTACCATTGATGGGAAAATTCCGCCCAGTCAAAGTTCCAACGATGGAATCTCCGAATCCGTTGTTTTGGAGCATCAGCATCCTTGTAGATGTTCATGGAGGCCATAGGACATAGGACCCTGACATTGTCCCCGGTTCAGCCAGTGGCTTTCAGCTTCGACCAGTGCCGCACCGGCGTCGTCGAACGGGCGCGCAAGAACATCCCCGGCGTGGCGTCCCGGTGGCACCAAGGCCGGGTGTTAGAGGTGAACCTCGACCACTGTAGCTTCGCCGAAGCGGCCATCTCCAGCTTGGCTCGGCTGGGGCCCAGATGGGCCTGGCTCGGATGTGGACTGATTGATTCAAGCAGGTGGAGATCTGTGGGAATGGCCTGAAACCAGCGTCGAAACGACTCGAAGCCAGCTTCCACCGCTTCGCCCTCTAAGGATTTGCCTCAACGTCCGAAGCTTTTCATTGTGTCACTGCGATGGTGGAGAAGGCCAGTGCAAGCTCCGGACCTTTCAATTATATATATATATATATGCATTCTGCGCCATATCGCACCCGCAGAGCACACGAATCATCATTGATCGGGATGCCCAAAAGAAAACTCGCTGCAGAATGCTGTAGCCATGTTGTTTGCTTTGGGTAGCACATTTCGAGCACACTCCCTGGAACTAACATGAAAGTGGATGACCTGGCCCGCCAAAGACCATGAAATCCGAATACCAAACAGAGGTGCCATCCACTTCCATGTTAGCTCCAGGGGGAGTGGAGGGTCAACTTGAGAGATATTACAGTTGTTTCAGAGGTTCGATTGTACAAGCTTCAAGATGTTATTTTTTGATGGGAGTAATTACATGTGTGATTTTACTTTTTTCTCTTCAACCCGATGTGCAAGGCACCTTTGGGCAGAGCTTCGTGGTACACCTGGAGGACGGAGATCTCCGATGTTTATGGCTGGTATGAGGGCCTGAGAACCGACAGCTGCACAAGGAAAGACCTGTTTTTCCCCCGCTTAGGAAGGCCAACAGCACACTGCATCAAAAAACCACCATTTCAGTGATACAGGTGAGAGACTGCTAGGCTTTTTAGCCATCGATGTCGGTGCTACTTCTGGCTGCTTCATCTCAGCTCCTGCACATGGCCGTGTTTGGACGATGTCCAGTTCACGAAGCAACCGGGTGGAAGGGGAAGAACAAAGAGGTAGCAACTTCCATAGAAGTTGGTAAGAACAAGAAGGTCGTTTGGGGACTTGAAATGGCCTTCTGACCTCGCTGGTGACCACACAAGGACAAGAAGTGGCAGGGCCGGTGACCCCACTGCAACCACATGTACTTGGGCCAGGCATGGGCCATGCCGCACTAGTCATTTGACTGTCCGAAATGCTCAGCATCATTCAGGACCTGGCACGGGGTCTCGCTCGAAGAAGAGGCGACTGTCCCAGAGGTTTGAACGGATCCGATGAGTGTGGCGAGTTTTGGGCGGGCCAAAGGGTCTCGACAAATGGTTCTTGGGGTGGAGGATGACTGCTTGCATCAATGTCCTTTACTTTCAGTTACGCTTGCATCAAAGCACCGCAATGGCTCGCTCCCAAAGTCACCACCCACCCACCAACCACAATCTTGGGTCAAAGGGTTCCTTGGTTGACTGTCGCATCAGCGCATCCGTAGCCTTGTGCAGATGGTCCTGCATCACATGCCCCCCTCGCTGACCGGCCGCCGCCCCTCCGTAGCCTGGGCGCCGAAATCAGGTGATCCGGAAGCATCGCAGGCGCAGGCCAGCAACGTTCAATCGCACCGGAGTGGCCACTCCAGTGGCCGCCGACAGGCATGGCACCATGCATGGCCCATGACAGACTTTATTGATGTTGCTCATGTTTGGTCAACATGGCCCCGGTATTTGCATTGCTTTGATGCCTCGCCCATATATTGGGCACCAATCCGGCAAAAAGTTCTTATTGTGTTGCCACAAGAGGTTTTGAAAGCGAATTCTAGATCTTAGATGCTCAGATCTTCAGGCGAAACCCAAGTTCATCCACCACTGTAATCGACTGATTTTCAGGTCAACTGGTCGCAACTCCAACCTGGAACCCAGTATGGGCTGAAGCTGCTCTATAGTTCGAAAGAAGCCAATTTTTGGGTCAACTCCGACCTGTCCGCAACTGGTGGCACCCAGTATGGGCTAGTGAACAATGCGAAGAAGCAGTGAATCTCGTGGACAGGCTGAAGATGTAGTAGAGTGGGCTAATTCCAATCCCCAGTGTGTTCTGCTCGAACTGAGTTGTTGCGTAAAATGGGGCTCGGCCGAGGCGGAATCCGAGGGAGTCCATACTCGTGCACAGGGTCATACCCTAGGAGGTGTCGGAGTACATCCGTCAAAGCTGTCACGTCTCCAACCTGCATTCGTAGTCCTAGATGAAGCCAACACTCCTGGCTGCCAAACACTCCTGGCACTACCGGGCGAAGCTACACCTCAAGGGTGACGCCAGCTGTTCCTCTCCATTCCTGTCCACGAATCGCAGCTCAGCTTCCACGGCGGGGTCCGGCTCAGTTGAAGTCTCCAAGCACCTTCTCCGCCTCGCGCTCCTGTCGACCGCGGGGAAGCTCACCGGATCTCGGGTCGGAGGTCGTTCGAAGATCGGTTGGTCTCTGAGGAGGTCGTGCCGTGTACGTCGGCATATGGCATACACCAAGGAGTGATAAGGAGTGCATTGGTACTGCATGTACTGCATATGGTACCACCACATGTACACCACACTGCCAAAATATATATTATATATATTGGGTTTGTCCTGTCCTATTACCTGTAACAGTCAGTAAACAATGCTCTTTTTTGAACAAGGCCTTTACTAACCATCATCATCCGCTGTTACAGTTATTAGGATAGACCCAATTATATATGACAACAGTTTGACATATGCGTGCATGCCGTGATAAAATTGGAATTTGAACAATCACATGCGTTTGTCCTGCTTGGAAAGCACCTCCAGAGCTTTCCTGACTTAGGGCCAGTCTTTGTGTTCAACAACTGGTCATGTGCACTGTATGTCAGCCAATGTCCATGTTGTTGTCAAGTGCGTGGGGGGAAAGCTGAACACATTTGACATCTTGTGGTCCACTGGTCCACAACTTGCGGTCGCCGTTCGACGCAGTTTTTCGGCTCAACTAGGGAGATTCGTTCGACAGAAGGCTGCCATTACACGGGCCAGAGTCCGTCAAAGAAGAGCCTCCCAGTCTCCCAGACCATCGCCATGACGTTCGAGATGAGCTCTCAACACTGGGAGTAAACAGTTCGCCCAATGACTCAGTTTGGTGACCGAACCAGGAAAGAAATGGGTCAGATAGCAGCAAGCTGACGCCCGGAATTGGGCGCGATTGATCACCGAAGATAGCTGGTTTGGACTTGCCAAAGCATAGCCCTCAACACGGGTCACCACCAGTGTTTTCGCAGATGGTGTTTGATTGTTGCCAGCTGTTTGAGGCCGTCATGGTCCAAATGCCAGCTGTTGCCCAAAAAATAAGACCCCAATGCTTCAGAGACTTCGTCGGATTCGTCGGCACATCATGGCGACGCCACACGTTTCCTGGCGCCTGCCGACAAATATGTTGCGGCGCAGGTGTCCGGGGTGTGGGGCAACAAAAACATAGCTTCTTGTTACTAGTAGTACGGTGCCTTGCTCCTAGTAGCTTCTTGCTACTAGTAGTAAGGCCAGGAGCTACCTTCTTAGAAAAACTTAGTGGCCCCTTGCCCCCAACAAGGGAAGGCTGAAGGAAGAGCAAAACACTCCAAAATTCATCCGAGAAATCCATGCAATGACCCCAGTTACCCATCCCAGTTACTTCCATGATGGATAGGTTTCCAAGCAACCACTCCACTTCTCTAAGTGAAAATTACTATGTCCATTGACCCTGGTTTCTTGTGGCCACGTCCCCTGGCAGGTCTTCCTCCACCACCCTGGCGCTTTTGGGCTTGGCTTTGACCCGCTTTGCGAGCGTGGCCTTTCTACCCACCCCGCTCACGGGCTCACGCAGCCTGACGAGCGTGACGGGTGTGCACAATGTGCAGTCATCCAAGGTGGGGCATGGAAGCTGAAAAACCACTGGATTGGAGAGGAAAGTCATCTTCCAAGGGTCCATGCCATCAGGCATCAGGTTCCTGTGACGTGGGCCTCTTCTCAGGTGTATAGTTACTTTGGGATGCTTTGGGACTTTTGGGCTGTGGATGTCATTGGGAAATGGTTTATAGTGTGAACTGTCAGGGGCTTCAGGGGGCTATGCGGAGGGTTGTTCAGTGGTTGATTTTGTGGACTTGGGTGCGTGACAAGTTGCGTGACATTTGGGCAGAGTTGTTCAATGGTTGTTCTTTTTCGCACCGTTGGTCGTACCGGTGTGAACTCCAGTTCACAGGGGAGCCCTCCACCGACGTCCGAACCGGGCGTGTGCCAGGTGAGATTGATGAGTAGCGTCCAGACCCTTGCCGAAACCTCCTTCACGACCCTGGATAAGGCCAGGAGGGCACTCGGTGAGTCAAGCCAGCCCTGCTGGCATGAACTTCCAGTTTGTATGCGGCGCGGTTCAGTACAGCAGCTATGGTGACATTGGGCATGGAGCCGTTTGGCATTTGTGTGTCGGATGCGACGGTTGATGTTTCCGGAAGATTTGGTGAAGTTGGACATAGCTGAAGTTCGACAAACAAGTTGAGACTCGAAGTGACCAAGATCTACGAACCTGTACAACCTGATCACCTCCTATCTCAGACAGTTGTATTTTAGATCAGCTTGTCCAAACCTTCTTCCCGGTAGAATACATTGACACAGCTTACCAAGGAATCACTGGATAAAGACTTGCCATAGCACTTCATTTCCCAGACACTCCATGTATGGCATATTGACAGACATTGGGGCGGTTTCAGGGGTCAATTTAAAATTGGGCATATAATGGCATATATTTATATATTTTCCATACATGGAGTGTTTGGGAGTGTTGTTCATATGCTTGTCAACGACCATCATTCAAACCTCGAATCCGCCGCCCAGCATAGGACTGGACATTTATCTACCATGGTTTCAGATGTTTCAGAGGTTCGATGGGACTGGCACCCCAAGATGTCCTAGACTACATATAAACCACCTTTTGGGGTTTGTACTCTGAAACCAGTGTGCCTAGATGTTTAATGATGTTTGATGGACTGATGACCCATGTGAATCCATGTGACAATTTCCTTATCATGGTTCCCAATGATCATCCGGGTCATTTTGTGCGGTTTCACCGGTGGCGCCCTCGTTCCCGAAAAAGGACACCCTCCTTTCCTCACACCAAACGCGAGGCGAGTTTGCAGGCGCAAATCGCTGAGCTTTTTCGGGTGGCCTTGCAGGGCCTGATGGAGGACCTGCGTTCCCGAACTGGGTACAGTAATGTAATGTGGCCTCTTGATTAATCCACCCCCCCCTCCCCCACCCCTCCCCCCCTCAACAATTGAGACTCCAGAACAATACGCTAGAAAACCAATCAATTGATGAAAATGAAAAGAATCATTACTTAGCTATCTCTTTTAGAAAGAAACTTTTGGAAAGCTTAAAGACTAAAGAGCTTAGGTAAGTAAAGCAAAGCAAAAGGAAAAGACATGGAATTAATGCTTGAACTCTCTAGGCATTATTCTAGGCCCCCCCCCTAAATAATATCAGAAAGCTGCTTGATGGACTACCCCCCTTTGCTTGAAATATGTTTTGTGTTTTCAATACTTTTGAATAAGGGATTGTGTAAAGAAAGTGTGCACTGACTTTTGGAAACTTTTGGAAATCTTAAAGACTAAAGAGCTTAGGTAAGTAAAGCAAAGCACAAGGAAAAGAAAGGTAATGAATACAAGTTTACTTAAAGCAAACTATGTTTTAAGCTTGAAATCTCTGGAAATTATTCTAGGGCCTTGCTGGACTACCCCCTTTGCTTGAATGATTTTGTTTGTTTTTCAATACTTTTGAATAAGGGATTTTGTAAAGAAAGTGTGCACTGATGTTTGGAAACTTTTGGAAAGCTTAAAGACTAAAGAGCTTAGGTAAGTAAAGCAAAGCAAAGGGGAACAAGTAAACTATAACAATCAAACATATTCCACTACAACTATCCCTGCCAAAAAAAAATACATTATTCTGGGGGCCGTTATTAATCAGTGCAGGAAAAAATACTTTATTCTAGGGGCGTTTATCAATCAGAGGACCACATTATGGTATATCCCTAGTCCCTAGCAGGCGATGACCCTCAGTTATCTGGAGAAATTGCAGAAAAATCCAGGTGAAAGCTCCATAGAAGGAGGAAGATTCTTCGTATTTTTCTTGGGTTCGGAGCCTTCCTCCAAGAGGAGGAGATCGAGCCGGTGGTGACCACCGCGGATCCGCGCTTCGGGGATTATCAGTGCAGCTTGGCAGCGCCGACTCTGCCGTGTTCTCAGGGATGCCTTGGGTATGTCCCATGACCTGCATTGGTCAATAGAAGATGATCACTATTTTTGAGAAAGGATGAGGAAGGCTTCGCCATCATCATCCACTGTTGCAGGGAATGGAATAGACCCAAGGTAGGCCCAGCTGTTTGGGCATCCCGACCCAAACAGCAAGGGCTGCAACCTCATGCAGATTCGATCTAGGGCAGGCCTAGTGGAGAGAGAACATTCTAATGCTGCTGATGCTACTGATGGTTTCCTGCTCGTTGCAGTGTGGAGTGCTTGACCTCCACAGGCAACAACGCCATGAGCCTGTTCAAGAAGAGCAAGCAGCAGGGTGGGAAGGATGGCTGGATTCTTGGCTGCTGCCTAGTAGGGAATGAGGTGAGTACATCCATGGGTCTATTTGGCGTTTGGAGCCTGGCACTTGCACGAATGCTAGTTCAAGAAGAACCGTTCAGGGTCTGACTGGTGCTGGTGCCCATCACTTTCATGCAACTGACTTCCCCTGCAAATCACTTTGTTCCGCAGTGGAGGTTGAACGCCCCAAACAAACCAAAAACACACACTGGCGCCAGCTTTCCGAGGAAAAGCCCACGCGATGTGGGTCAAGCCATCAAAGATGCTTTGCCAGCAGAGTCTGCGGATCTTTTCGCAGAGGCCAGTCGGCTCCGGCACCATCCGGCACCGGTCATCCGTAGACCGGGTGAAAACAGGTGAAAACCAGATCCAACCCGGTCATCGCTTCAGTGTAAGCGATGGGGAAGGGACATGAAGCGCTCCACATGGGGTCTATTTCAGGCACCATCACACAAGGAGGATTGAGATGCTTTGAGAGGCATCATTCCAACTTGCTGGTTCTTCGTGCAGGGTAGTCGTTTTGGTCCTTCGGAAGAGTTGCCAAGAAAGAGCACATAAACGGCAGTTTTCCTGCCTTGACGGGAGCACTCAACTCCAATGTGGCATATGTGAAAGATGCCCTCGAGGAGCTGGGATCAAGGCAGTGTCGCAGTTCATCAAGGGATTGAGAGTAAATGAGGGTGCTTTGAGAATGACACGGGCAATTTTGGATTTGTTGCACACACATTTATGTATGTATATATTATATGATTATATATGATTATATATGTAGATATTATATACCGTATACATACATATATATAATATATGGAAGGCATTCTAGCTGGTAGCTTGTAGTCGAAGCTTGGCTTATGGGCACAGCAATGCCCCAAACTGCTTGCCATACAGCGGGAGCAGCTGCAGATGGCTTACAGTGCTGGTAAAGCAGCATGTTCCTACTGCCTCAGGCGCTCTTTGAATGCTGCAGCTCAGCTTCCTTCGGAAAGCCCACATTTCTTGAAAAGAAGTTGGTGACCGCCAGGCCTGAAACGAATCTCATGGTAAGCTCCGCTGGACATTTGGATCTCTACTTCCAACGTTGGGAGAGTGGATCGACCAAGTCTTTCCACGGATCGCGTGGTGAAAAGCCACCTCGCGCGGTGGTCTTCATCCACCACGGGGAGACGGACATTTGGTGTTGTGGATCGGGTGATGTTTTTATTTTGGATCAATCCTCTAGACTGGGCAGTTGATATATAATGTTAGATTCGTTTTTAGTTTGTACGGCCCCGCTGGCCATTTCTGTTTGACGTACTTTTTGGGAGGGTCTGTAATAAAGGGCCCTTGGAGTAGTAGTAGTCGTCGTCGTCGTAAGTCGTAGGTCGTAGGTAGTAGGTAGTAGGAGGAGTAGTAGGCAGTAGTAAGAGGAGTAGTAGTAGTAGTAGCAGCAGCAGTAGTAGTAGGAGTAGTAGTAGTACTTTTTCGGAGTTCGATTTTTTTAATTATGGATCCTGAGTGTGGCGCAGTGCTAATTATGGATCATTTTTGGTCGAATACGAAATCAAATTAGATCTGGATTGTTTCCTGGACAATTGGTTTGTTTAATTATGCACCCCCATACTAATGCCAATCTAACATTATATATACAATATATATATACACACACACTACGCGTACTGCGCGTAGTGTGTGTGCGTGTGTTTGTCTTCTTTTTGTCCCGGCTTCCAAAGCGTCCCAGGAACACGCCAGCTGGTACAACGCCTTGGCGGTGCGCTTGGCCACCGTGGGCTGTCGTTGCCTGGCGATGGATGCCCAGGGCTTCGGGCAGTCAGATGGAGCGCGGGGATACTTCGAGAGCTTCCAGGAGGTCAAAGAGGACTTTGTGACCTTTGTAAGGACCAAGTGGGCAGAGGTCAGGGCTGGCAAGACATGTGTTGATGTCATGTTTTTTAATACGCAGTCTTAGGTATGCGTCATACCCACACATGTGTTTCATCTCTTGCACAGTGGTTCAACTGCCAGACATTTTAAAGAAATGGCATGCTTTCAAGCTGGGAGATTTCGGAAAACTGGAAGAAGCAGAAGGTCAGAATTTCATTCGAGGCGCTGAAGGAAGCTGGCAACGACCGGACGTCGCCTCCACCCGCCCCTGGGCTGGTTTTGGTGGCGAAGGGCTTTGGTGCGTTGCTGCTGTTGCAGGCCCTCCCCGAGATCCAAGCCCTCGTGCGAGTACCGAGGCCGCCTTGTGGAACCTTTTGCTGAGTTTTGTTTGGTTTTGGGTGTTTGGTTCACCTGACGTGTGTTTTTTGGAGCGCTCAGTGGGCCTGCAATTCCACTGCGTTTGGCCGGGAATCTAGGGGGAGATGCAATTGTTGTTTCATTGAGCCATTAAGCTTACCAGAGGGGATAGACCCAAATTGACGAGAAATGACGAGAACATTATGTTGAATTATTAATCATGTTGGGGGTGTCCCCACTACCTGTAACAGCCAGTAAACAACTAATTGCAGTATGACTATTTTAGAGGAAGGCCTTTACAAACCATCATCATCCGCTGTTACAGGGAATAGGATAGACCCAAAATATTTAGCATGTTCCTCGTTTGCTCCAGGCCCCAAGCAATTCCAAGGAAACAAAGACGGTGCCGGTGGTGGTGTTGCTTTCTCCAGGCTTCCAATTCAACAGTCGCTGGGCGTGCACTTCTTGTCGGATTATGAATATATATATATATATATTTATAGATATGTATATTGTTTTAAGCTTAGCCATGTCGCACCCTTTCTATCAAAATAAGTCCTTTACAACATACCACTAGAAGGTTGGTAAGAATTACTATTGTACTGGTACAAACAATGTCCCCAGCTCGGCCTTCGGCCATTGAGTTTCACCTGAGATCTACATAGATCTACCCTCACCGGATACCTTTGTGCAAAGTGAGTGGCTTGTCGGGTGCTCATGAACCTGCGACTTTTATGGCCTTTGGAGACACACTGCGGACCACTACGGTAACTTGTGCCCTTGTGTCCTTTGTAGGGAAAGCCCTCCACGCCACGTGGCCGTCGCCTGAGGCTTTCTAGCCGAGAGCAGTGGGCGCTGCGGCCTGGACGCCTCATGCGCTAGTCAACCTTTGTCTCCATGTGCAGTGGTCCCTGGACACGGCGGTGATGGCCAACTGGAGCAACTCGGAGCTGACAGCAACTGATCGCCAGTCTGGGTGATGATGAATGCATTTGGAACATCAAAAGGATGATATTCGCAGTGCAACAACCCGTATCAAGATATTTGTCAGAGTTTGACATAAGGTCTTGAGGGCCTTTTTTTGTACGCGAAGGCACGCATCACGCAGCCAGTGGCTCAGAAAAACACACATCCTCACGTCCTTTGAGGCACTTCTCGCGGTGGTTTCCCAAGATGATCGCCACTGATCCAGTCGATCCGGACCTGATTTGTCGTGATCCTCAAGCGATTGAGCGCATGGCACGGGATGCGCTGATCTGGCGACAGGGGTATCGGGCGCGGGTTCTGGCAGAGATTCTGCAAGAGTGACTTGATATGCTGAGTATGCTGATGGGTGTTGTTGATGTTTGGGTTGCTTCTGGCATCACCGATGAAAAGGTTTGATTGCGGCACTACCCATTTATATACAAGGTGTTGAAATGTCGGCCATGACTTCAGATTGACACATGATCTTATTTACCATGGCCAAGAACTGGTGACCATCGCCACACACCTATGGGATGTTGAAGCGTCTTCCCCAAACCTGGGTGGTGCGACTTCAACACCCCCATCGTGCCTGAGGCAATCCAGGCTGCCCAGCACTATGGAGCAGTTTCCCGAGGCCTTCCAGTGTCCATCACTGATCTTGCATGGCAGCAGCGACCGGCTCTATTCGGCACAAGGACGGTTCTTGCGACGGAAAGGGGCTGAGAGCGGTGACCCAAAGGTTGCTTTGAAGTTATATAGTTGAAATTGAAAGGTTCCTATAAGGCAAGGCGTATGTAGTTGTTTACAGACTTGGTCAATGAAAATGGCGAAGATGCATGTTTGTCCATGTTCAATTTAATTTCTAGATGGTCACAGCCAGTAGTGTAAACCAATTGTATAAATTGGTCGAGCTTGGTTATCAAGCCGCAAGCCTTCCCTCGCAAAACACCGCCATACACCGCCTTTCCTTGAGGAACTCAGTTCGTTCATCGCCACTGGTGCGAGACTCAGGGTTCATCCCCTTCGGCCACCTGGAATTAAGGTGATGAGTAATGGTATTTCCCAGGGACCTGCTACAAATCCCATTCTACCAGCACCCTCTACAGCTCATCACCTGCCACCTGTAATTCTCCAACAGCCAGGGTGCTGGTATAGGCTGTTTTTGGGATTCTTGTGACATCGAGACCGACTGAGGTGGGGTGGCTCTGGTTCCCAGAATGTGTTTGTTCTTTCCCGTTGGCTTACTTTTCTCAGATGTCATAGTTTTTTGTTTCCGGAAACGGTTTGGCTTCCTCCCCGGTGTCCTCCGGACTGCTGAAACAAATCCAAGGCGACTTTTCCAGTGCTGAAAGTCTATGATGGTGCCTACCATCAACTGCTCAATGAGCCAAATCGGGACGAGGTGGTCAACGACATCATCGCATTTGTCCTGGCAAGAATTTGAGGGCATGACTATGACCGAGAAATGCAACGCAGCGAGCGAGAAAAACAATGTGCCACCTGCAAAGTGCATGCAGACCGGCGTGTACAGCCGCAGACCTCCCTTTGGATTGGGAGGTCTGGTTCTTTTGCTACAAAACTGACGGCATATTCGACTTTAGGCCATGAGCATCCATGTTAGCCGTTTTCTCCCTAGATCCCTCATGCTCCAGTTCATGTTGCCATTTTTTTGTCTACCTGTGGTGCGCAGGGACAAGCGCCCTTTCGAGGTTCAATGGCACTGGCAGTCAGTCAGATGTCAGTCAGATGTCAAATTGCCATGGGGTCCATATAAACCACCAAGTTTGGATATTTGTGCCAATCTACATCACTCGATTTTTTGAAACCACTGCAATCCCCCCATCACTCTATTCGCAAAAGTGGCGCACTCGCTCGGGCAGGTGAACGTGGCACCGCAGGGCTTCATTACTGTGAAGCTTAAGACTTCATGGATCGAGGACTGCACCGTGACGGACGGAGACAGATCGAATCATCCCGAATCCGTTGGGGTCGAACATGGTCCGTTGGGGTCGATCCATGGTTTTGAGATGTTTGGACCGGGAAAGGGCTGTTTTCACAGCGTTTGGGGGCAACCATTCCAAACAAAATGAAGATCTATCAACAGCCATGGAATATCCATTGAATGACAAACACTGCGTAGTGTGGCTGTTCTTTTTTGGTGGTGCAACGAGAACGAACATACTAACGTCAAGCTGTTTTGGGGTCGTCGAATACCTCTTAGCTCCTCGCTGGAGCCGTACGAGAACCCAGCGCCGAACCCCCGCCGAGGAGCAGATCGGAGATCGCTTCCACGGGTCGCTTCAGCTGCGAAGCAGCGATCCACAGCGGATCGTCATTGACTACTCCTCGCCCAACATCGCAAAGGTGGGATTTCCGAGGAAAACACCCGTTGTCCGGTGCAGACCATATGGTGCACAAGCGTGTGTGGTGTTCATGTTTGTTTTGCACCGTGTTTTTCTCCAGATCCTTTAGGCACGTTTGGCCTCATTTGGATCGATCACGTGGAAGATCAGATCGATATCATGCCGTGTCCTGGAACAATCCCCACGCTTGGCTGTCGAAATTGCTGCTTCAGATGACAGCATGTTTCAGATGACAGTGCTTGGCCTCACCTCCCCGGAAACACACGGTGTACCCTGTGCGCTCCGTTCAGGAGATGCATGTGGGCCATTTGCGCTCCACGATTCTGGGCGACACCATGGCCAACCTCTTCGATTCCTTGGGCCACGATGTGGTTCGCCTGAATCATGTGGGAGATTGGGGAACTCAGTTTGGAATGCTGCTGGAGTACATGCGCCGCAAGGAGCGCCAGCGCTTGTCGCGCTCAGAGCGCGGTCGGTGGAACGGTTGATGCAAGTCCATCCGGTTCGGAGCGAGCGCCAGTCGTTGTGACCGGATTGGAAGCCTTTAGTAGGGAGCTGGTAGGATTGGGATGGCTTCGCGTTTTGGATTAGACGGATGTCATGAACTGGCTGGCAGCCAGTGAGCTAAGTCGCTCACAGTCTTTGATACTTGAGCCACTCTCGTTGCGGGATGTTGCAGGGGCCCCGCAACGATGGTTTGTGAACATTATAACTTGATATAACTTGTGAACTGTGGCACGGGGACTGCAAGATCATACAAGCCACATTCAACTGTGAAGTGGGTGCAGGATGCCTTAGATGGAGAAGCTTCTTCGATGGTGAGCGACCTTCAGCAGTTCTACCGAAGTGCCAAGCAGGCATGTGCCGCTACCGCGGGGCGCATGCGCGCGAGACCATCGTGATTTGTGACAACTGGTGTTACAGAAAGGGCTTTGTCATCAAAGCTGGAACGGATGATGCAGAAACCCTTCGAACATGTGCTTGCGTCCGTGTTTTTGGTTTTGGTCTGATCCGGGTGCCTCGTCCTCAAAGCGGGAGGCAGGCAAACCGATGGGGGTCCAGCTGCACTTGTAAAACCGATCCGTTTTCAGCGCGGCCCGAAACGGCGCGGCCCAGACCAACGAAGGCCTTTGATGAAGACGAAGACTTTCGAAAGTCAGCGCAGAGCAACGTGGTGGAGTTGCAAGGCAGGAAGCGTGGCAAACCTGTCACAGAGTCCGGGAGCAGTATTATATGATATACTGTAGTAATACCAAAAAAAATAACTATATAAATCATAATAATATATATAATACAATATAATAGACTATATTGTTGACCATTTGTCAATAACAAGTCGTTTGCCCATCCAAGTGCTACTGTGGTATACTATAGTATACTGTTGTATTTGTAGTCACTGGTATTTGCATAAGTGGATAATGAAGTGCATAACAGGTCAATCTCCGACGTCCGATCCCTCATGAGAGGAAGTCAAATGTATGTGTGTGTATCTCCAACTTAGTGGGATTAAATACTGTACCCAGAACTTACGCCCAAACCATGGTCGTAGATGCATTTCAGTAAGCTAATTAGATGAATCATTTGATATCATTTGATCAAACTCTGAATGACCCAGTCTGAGCCTAGCAGGTTCAAGTCTCAAGCATTGTCGGTTTCTTTCTCCACATTGAATAAAGCAATTTCATCCACCCACCCTCATCCCGTTTGGCTCCGGCCGTGCCGCCGTCATGCTCGTCGCGGGTCCCAGGCGGCTCCACTTGGGCGCGCGAGGCCTGGAGCCGCATTTGCCAAGCCAGCCGCAAGGCGCGGTGGGACACCGTACCTGGTGAGGGACAGCGGTGCTTTGGTTGCAAAGGTGGGGCATTTTGACCTTGGGGAGGGGCGTGGCTTTTTGGGGCACGATTGAAGAGGTGGTGAATTCTGGATTCCCTGAAGATGCTGGAGTGACAGAGGTAGTTTTGAAGTCACAGCCCGCGGACAACTGAAAACTCCAGTTTCGGTGTGTTTGGAAGCTTCAGGCGCACCCTGGCATACCTGAGGCCTTGTTTTGTCCAGCGACAATGTGATGATGGTTTGTCCATGGTATCCTGCGGCCCCCAATGTGCCAATGTGGATGACGTCAAGTAATGATACTCGTATATTAATATGTTGAGTTGCCGAATTATTTATCCTATGATATCCTATGTTTCTATATTTTTCATGGAGGCTACAGGTGCACTATAGTCATTTTTATGATTTTTATGTGTTTTCCAATGGCTGTGGTGGTTGGAAAGATGAAGGATGAATGAACACCCAATGGTTAGGCGGGTTGATGGTTGTTGCATGTTTTGTTGGGACAACCTCATTGTGTATTTGGGTGTGCAGGCGCGGTTCGATGTAAGACAGACGAGGTGCAAATACGTGCAAGCAGCATCAAACGGCTCATTTTCTATGAGGTGTCATGCAAATAGACGGAATAGGTGGCGGGGCGATGAGGTGCCCGCAGCTCTTACTTTGCACTTTGTGCTTGTGGTGCCTGACGATGCTGCAGGAGTTCGATTTGGTTTACCAGCGCTTGAAGATTGAGGGTTTGAAGGAGCCAAGCACATTCTGACGGTCGCATGGTTTTTCTGCGGTGGGCCATGAACGCTTTTTGGGTGCATCTGTGGAATTCAAGATTGCGCCACGGGCTACCATACAGAGAAACATCCTGAGATGTGTAAGTAAAACCTTCATTGTTGCAGAGTGCGGAGAGACAGTCGAACACAGATGGTGGTGAGACCAATCTCACCGGCTACTCCGACCAGACCACAAAGACCGGGAGCAAAGAGGTGGTACCGAGTTCGAGCTCAGTGGGGGGGGTGAACTTCCAGGCTGGTGATTTGTCCCCTACAATCCCCCGCAAACCAGTTAAGACCCATCAACCAATGTCCCTCATGGCAGGCTTTTGGTCACTGACCCAGTTCTGACCCGGAGCGAGACGCCGACGAGACGACCCCGATTTTGAGAGGAGCGAGGCGAGTCGTTCTACAACGAGATGCTCCCTGAAGTGGTGGAAGACTTGAAAAGGCCTGGACCAAAAAAAAAAAAAAAATTCGGGGTGCACATCACCTCCGGGTGTGCCGAATAATCTGTTCGACCTTCTTCTCTCCACGCGAGGAGTTCGGGGGCGGCATCGGGCCGATGCGGTGCCTGAAAGGGACGAGAGCTGCTCGAAGCGCCAAGGTTTCTCCAAAGGGGCGCGCGAGCGGCCCCAAATTGGCCGCTACCCTCATCTAAATATGGTCTTTGAACGTTGTTGATTCTCAAACTCAAGTACTACCGTGTGTAAATGAACCCTTGTTAGTGAATATGGGTAATTAACATCGGAAGATGAGACGTAGCGCTGAATGTGGAAATGAACCCAGGAGGTGAACTGGCGAACTGTGGTGCCTTTCAAAGTCATGGACAAGTCATGTGAGAGGCCGCAGGTGGTTGCATGATTATAGCGACTTTTGGTTCTAAGTAAAGGCTTTTGGATTTGGAAACACTTTGTTCTAAGTGGTTGTCCGTCAATGTAGTTGGCAAATGACATGACCCACTTGTAGGGGATGGTGTCAGTCCTAAGTTTTTGGACACACTTGCATCCGCAGCCTTGAGGAGTTGATAAACGATGACTCGTTGCACGCCAGGAAAGACCTGGTCACTGAGAGTGACGGAGCCCTGTGTGTCTTCACGGATATCTCCGAAACACCTCTCATCATTCAGAAAGCCGATGGAGGCCACTCGCACCTGGTGGGCAGCTGATAGGCACTTGTCTCCAAGGGGAGCCCACCAACTACAGCGAGATCCCTCATAGACGCGAGTATCGACGCCTTTTCTGCTCGTTTCCAAGCATCTTTCCGTTCTACGGGAGCTTCGGGAGCTTCGGGGTGGAGCTCGTGTCCGCAGTCACGACGCCGTGACTCCCCCCTCGGAGACTCCCCGGCTCCCGACGGTGGATCCAATGCTCCAGGCTTTGGCTATGACTCCACGGACTGTGCGGCCGTGAGGCAACGAGTGCAGGAGATGGTGGGTTTCTTGAAATGGATCGTTCCAATTCCCGTGGTCCCGTTGTGGTTCCAACACTTCCCATTGGTGAGACAATATGACATACTCGTTCGATGCATCCGCTTTTGTTAAAACATCACGTGCCGTGAAGCTCAACTGCCCTCTCTTAATGTTTGACCAACGCCGCAGGATGAGAAGGCGCAACGGGTGATTTACGTCATTGACAACGGTCAGGAGTGGATCAAGGGGCTCGGCGAAAGAGGATGTGAGTGAGAGCCAAAGACATTTGCTGGGTGGTGGTTTCGGATAACCTTTAACATCTTTAACTTGAGATGATTGATCCCGACGATGTTGTTCGTTCGTGAGTTGAATCCACCAACCAGTTTGAGATTTGGAATTTCATGTGGAGTGCGTTTGGTGTTTCTTTCAAAAGGGGCAAAGAGATGTGTCATTTAGTTACCATTTGCTACCACCCAGTGGCCTTTCAAGTAGCAATAGTGACAATGGTGCAACTGGTCACTGCTTGGGGAGGTTGATCCTCCTGGGTGTCGCAGAGATGTTCCTATTGAAATTAGAAGGGTTGCACAACCTTCGTCAACCCCAACCCTCCCCAACGTCACCAACATCCAACCCGACTTTGCTACTGCTGCTACCGCTCCCTCCTTTCCCAGGAGCTACACATGCGAATGGTGTTCAAGGCTGCTGAGGGAGCTGGATGGCTCGAGGGTCAAAAACGCCTCGACTTCATGGGCTTTGGATTGGTGCAGGGGCAAGATGGACTCTTGGCAACCTCCGATCACGGCGCGAGCTGCAGATGGCGTGAGCGCAGCGAAAGTTTGATCGAGCGCTGGCTCGAGGCTTCAGGTTCTTCTTGAGTCTTCCATTAGCAAGGATGGCTATTGGAGAGGTCATTGGTACATTTTTATATATATATATACATATATGTATGTGTCTCTCTCTCTCTCTCTCTCTCGCTCCATTTAGATCCATTTAGGATCTTTCAGGATCTCTTATGCTTGTGGGGCATCAGACTATCGAACGCCTTTCAAACTTGCATGTTCTTCACTGCGTTTTGTTGAGGGTTGTGGGCTGTTCTGTTCGCTCGAACGGACGCTCGGAGGCTCGACTCGTGTCCAACTGAGGGAAGAAGTTCAAGACTCGTTCGGGCGATGTGGTCCGCCTGCGGGACCTCTTGGACGAGGCCGCCATGCGCTCGGAGAAGGAGCTGCGGAAGCGGGCCGAGGCCGCGCAGCGGGAGCTGGACGAAGAGCAGGAGGACTGGGATGGACTGGGGGACAGGTTCCTGCAAGCTTTGCCACGCTGGGTCAGGTTTTACGGGTTTGGGTTCAACATTGGCTTGAGAATTGTTCATCAAGGAAAGCAGACGAGCTGGACAGGTAACAGAGTCCTTCAGGCCTTCAGGTTTGAGGCAAAGAAGTCAGTGGTTGGATTCTCCACTATCCTTCACTGAATGGTCGACAGGAGGTCAGAATGATTGCCTTCAGGTGTTGAATCTCAGACAGCAGCAAGCATTATTAGAATATACCTATAACATAATATATCATATTATAATTGCATTTTTGCTTTCTCCACATACACGCATGCATCAATCAAGGAGGCATTTCATGTCAGCAAGAAATTTGAAGGTTCAAGATCGTTATCGCGTCACGCGCCTTGGCTGTGTATGCTGTAGCCTGCTGGATGAGGAAGGAGCTTTAATTTCACCTTGCATGCCCCTCAAACCTGGTAGGAGCACTTGAAGCGAGATGCGGAGAGCATTGGCGTCGCGGCCGTGAAGTATTTCGACCTCCGCCAGAATCGGAATTCCGACTATAGGCTGGATGCGGGAGAAGTAGGATGAAATAGGCATGGCCAACCATTGCTTCCTAAGAGGGGGGGCAATTGATTGATTTTGATTTATTTTGAGTTGGTTCACAGCCTGTAAGGCCAAAGGTCCGGTTCAATTGATGGATCATGCAACAGCCACACATTTAGATGCACCACAGAAAACCGACAGGTTTTCCTACGACCAGATGCTGGATCCCAAGGGCAACACGGCGGTTTACGTCCTTTACGCCTATGCGCGCATTGCTGGGGTGCTGAGACGTGCCGAGTACGACGTCTCCACATTGAGTCCCTCCGACTTGTCTTTGACCGAGCCCAGTGAGTCTTGGCATTCGCATTTGGACAGGGTGGAACCATCCAGATGTCGAAAACAGAAAGAACCTTACAGTGGAGGAACGCCCCATGCCAGTTCTTCCAAATTAAATCATTGTCAATGGAGTACTTTGAGAAACCTTCAATGCAGATAACACCTCTAGATGTAGGCTAGCGGTTTCATTGTCCTGTCCAGAATAGCGCTCTCATTGTCCGGTCCAGGTTAGAATCAGATCAGATGGATCTACAAATCCACTGCTTGGTCGAGAAAGATTCTACTATGGGTCGTGAGTCCGTTAGTAACCTTGGCCACCGGTGCCAGTTCCTGTCCGTTCAGCAGGTCTGGGGTGGCTTAGCAGCTTGGAGCCAGAACGCTCATCGCCGATCATCCAGTTTGGGTAATGAATGCTCACCTGAGGTCCCTTCAGTCGGGTCGAGGGCGAAAAGATATGAACAGAGAAAGACAGAGCGAGTGCGACGCCGATCCGAGGAGCGAGCGCTGGCTTTGAGGTTGCTGCGCTTGCCAGAGGTCCTGGCACAGCTGGAGGAGGACTTATTGCCAAGCCGATTGATTGAGCCTTCGCAGCAGAGCTTGTGGCAAACGGTGGGGGTTTGAAGGGCTCGTTGATCGTTACGCACGGTTGGGGGTGCATCGTCTCGCCGACGAAGGACGGCCAATTGGTTCTGAAATATCTGAAATGGTGGCACCAATCATTCATTGGGCATGTGCAACGTACCACAAATTTTGCTCAGAACTGCAGGTTGAAACTGTGGATAGGTCGACTTCTCAGCATGCTCCTTGCTCCTTGCTCCTTCTCATTGCAGGTCTTTACACTCAAATGCAATCAAGTACTTCTTGCCTCCAGCACCTGTCGACAATGGGATGCAATCGGTGCGCCCCAGACCATTGCAGGTGAACTGTTGTTGAACTGCCGTGCTTCCTCCAGCCATGTCAGACACGGCCGGACGGTCTGGCAGGACGGTCCGGCAGGACCACGGAGATTCATGGCGTCCAGGATCGGTCCGTGATGTCCAGGATCTGCATCATGTAGACCTCAAATTTATAAACGCCCCTAGAATAATGACTCTTTTTTCCTGCACAGATTTATAAAGGCCCCCAGAATAATGCCTCTCTTTTTTTGGGAGGGGTAGTTGTAGTGGGATATGTTTTTGTTATAGTTGTCTTTTTCCTTTTGAGTTTGCTGGGATTTGCTTATCTTACAGGCTTTTGGATGGAGATGTCTATTAAACATTTGGAGATGTCCATTGAGATTTGATGCTTTTGGAGGCTTTTGGATGGAGATTTCTATTAACCAGTTGAAGATTTCCATTGAGATTTGATTCTTTTGGAGGCTTTTGGATGGAGATTTCTATTAAAAGTTTGGAGATTTCCATTGAGATTTGATGCTTTTGGAGGCTTTCTGACATTATTTACGGGGGCCCTAGAATAACGTCTATAGATTTCAGGCTTAAAAAAATATGTTGCTTTAAGTAAACTTGTATTCATTCCCTTTCTTTTCCTTTTGATTTGCTTTACTTACCTAAGCTCTTTAGTCTTTACGCTTTCCAAAAAGTTTCCAAAAGTCAGTGCACACTTTCTTTACAAGATCCCTTATTCAAAAGTATTGAAAAGAAAAACAAAAAAAATCATTCAAGCAAAGGGGGTAGTCCAGCAAGCAGCTTCCTGACATTATTTAGGGGGGGCCCTAGAATAATGTCTAGAGATTTCAGGCTTAAAAAAATGTGTTGCTTTAAGTAAACTTGTATTCATTCCCTTTCTTTTCCTTGTGATTTGCTTTACTTACCCAAGGCTCTTTAGTCTTTAAGCTGTCCAAATGTTTCATTTTGCTGTCCAAACTTTTATTATTGTAATTAATATTCCATGATTCATTTCATTTTAGTATTGCCAGAGTAGCTACAGGGGTAGCTAGCTAAGGATTCCTTATTTCATTATCAATTGATTGATTTTCTTATACATTATTTTGGAGGCCTTGGTTGTTGAGGGGGGGGGAGTTTATAAATCAAGAGTCAACATTAATCATTATGCTGAGAGGCCACATCCTCAAAAATCACGATCCAAGAAGTGACCCTCTTCGAACACCTTTTTCCTTCCAACCCATACCAGGCTTCTTCCTCCCTGGTCCATCCTTTTCCAAAACAACCGAGGATCACATCTACGGCTTGGCCACGGACTTCACGTCCTTCTACACCGAATGCTTCGTCATCGGCTCGGAGCAAGAGAAGAGTCGACTGCTCCTTTTGGAGGCCACGGGTCTGGCCCTGACCGGTCAAGCTGTTTGGGTCTCGGTCTTTGTCAGTGTCCTCAATCTAACAGGTGGCTGATGTGGTTTTACGGTACAGCGCTAGGCTCTTGAAGTGGTCTATGTTAGCAAAGGTCAAGATTGGAAACTACAGGAGTGTCTGACCGTTTCTGCATGTTCAAGTTGCAAGTTTTTGAGTACTTCGAGCCTGTCCGCTGTCCCTTTTTTGTGCTTTGCTGGATTTTCATAATGCTCTTGAAGAATGTGCGTTCCCTGTGGCAAATGAAATCATTAAAAGAGAAGACACCATCGTGACACCATCTTACAAACCCCCGGCTCCTTCAGCTCCCCAAACTTCTGCCACGCCGAGAACGCCAAACAGTTCGGGCGCGGACCTTGTGGCTCCTAGGTGGTCCGAAGGCAGCTGGCCCAATGCTTGGGCTTCTTGCGCATCCAGCCCTTTGAGAAGCTTTGAAGCCGCGCCGGGAGGTGGGCCGGACCGCGTCTCAAAGACATGAAATCAAGCAGTGGCCCGATTTGAACAGGGCCCAATGAAATTGGAAAGAGCACATGAATTTGCATACCAGGAATGTGCCGCGTTTCAGGCACCAGCTGCAGCTAGGGGCTAAAGAAGGAAAAGGACACAAGAAAGTCACATGTTGAGACTGGGAGTGCCCTATTCTGGCTGGTCAAAGCTGGTGCTTCCTTATCGATTTTCAGCCGTTTTTCGAAGTGCAGCTGGCCGAACGATGCCCAGCTTGCTTCCATTCGCGTCTCTACGTTCAGTTGCGCACCGAACGTCGAAATCAGAGCGTTGGATGGTGGAGACGGCGGGTCCACACGCCCACCCGGCTTGGGCAAGGGGTGCCAGCTTCTTTCGAGATCAACCAGCAATAATAGGAACACTGGCCAATAAAGCAATTTTGAAGAATGAAAGTGAATAGGAAATGTGGGCCACAAATTGAACTCCCCCCAACATGTGGTGATAAATCTAAAACAAAAACATAGATCGAAAAGAACATAGCAACAATTGCAATGAATGAATATGAATGGCAGGAATTAGATGTCAAAAGTACGGTGCTGCATCCCATTGAGTCATCCCAGGGAGGGGCCTATCCATCAGGGTTCCGGGCAAGTGGCGAGTCCTGTGACCTGTTTTCCTTCAGGTCGCCTCTCCGCTTGATCCTGGAGGAACTACGGTTGAATGAGCTGGCACTGCAGGATGGAAGTGCCGGATGCCTCGGCTGTCAGGACATACACGAAAGTGCGAGGCGAGTTTGGTCACTGCGGTCTTGGTTTTTGGGTGGGATGCCATACTCGCAACACTTGGGCTCAATTCTTGGAGGTTCCAAGCCTTTTGGTTGATTCTCCAGTTATCAATTTAAACATGTTGTTTCTATTCTATGGTCTTGATGCTGGTTACGTTTCAGGTGGCTCTCCTCTCTCAAGCTCTCGGTTGGCTTCGCATGGCTCGTGGGTCAGGAGCTTGGTCTTTGCAGGGTCACAGATTGAGCCAGCTTGCGCTGGCCCTGAGGAAAGGGAAGCCAAAGAGGAATTCCTTCCATGTAGACACTTCTCGGTGATCCCCTTTTGACCCGTCCTGCGCCCAGGCCAGATTTGGAAGTTCTGGAATTGGAAGGGTCCCACACTCAGAGGTGGTGTGAAGGAGGATCAGGTTGGGGCACACTGATGTTTAGAGTTCGATATGGAAATTGATTTGCAAAATCAACCCTTTTCTTTGACATGTTTTGCACCTGTCCATGATTAGCATGCTTAGTCACTTGGTCTTCTAATGTTCTACTCCTGCTGGTGTGGGTTTCTGGAAGGTCCCTCAGCCTTGAGAGCACCGCACGAAAAACTGTTCGAAAAGATAGAGGAACTCCAACGTGCGATGGCATCTTAGAAAACATATCACCTGATGGCATGGACGCACACCTGATAGCGTCTTACACCTGGGAAGAGACCCACATGGAACCTGATGACATGGACCTGCAAGGAAGTTTGACGAGCGCTTCCTGGTCCTCCACCTTCACCAGTGGTTTTCAGGTTCAATGTGGATCTCTGAACCAGTGTGTTTATACCTTCCTGTCATAGTTCTTTATAATCATACCCTTCTTAACCACGTTCCGTGGTTCGAAGGCCGTTTCGGAATCGATCCGATGGGCAGGAATCATCTCACGCATGAAGCCGTGAGGGCGCCCCAGCGGGGCCCATGTGGCCCAGTGGCGCCCTGGCCCTGTGGCACTGGCCTGTCAAATGGAATCTCGAAACTGTTGAATTCATGGGGAGCCATGAAAATGAAAACCGGTGTATGAATAAATATAAAAACAATCATGTTTGGTACTTCTTCACGGGAGTGACTCAGGCTGGTTGTTGATACTTGTAGCCGTAGCTATAATGCTAGGGCTGAAGAGAGAAAATCGAACGTGACCCCTGGTAGAAACCGCGTCACCAACTCGCACAGAGAGAGAGAGAGAGCGCAGCCAAACTCGAGCATTGCTCAAGCGGATGGAAGATAGGATCCAGAACCCAAGCAAAGAACAAAAGCAACCTTGTTTGACATGTTCCACGAAGTTAATGTGCCTGTGTTCTTCCTGTTGACGACGCATCGGGGTGGTTCCAGGAAAACATGAGCAAGGCAAGATAAGGCAAGTACAATGGCGAACAACCATGCACTTCACAGCCCAATTGTTCTTTTGTCATTCTCTCCTCGGACGTAACACTTGATGCTAGGCGACATTATGCGACTGCCTTGTGTGCCCAACATTGTGCCTCGAAGGTAGCTGGAAGCACCCCCAAAAAAAGAGAAAGAAGCAAAGCCGCTGGAGAAAACGATCCAGTGGCACTGTTATTGTGGACGTGGCGGTCGCAAAATATACTGCTTTGTTGGCTGCAGTGCAGCTCAGTATGGGACGGACAACGTCCTTCTCTCCAAAACACGTGTGACCCTCAAATGGACAAACTGAGCATCTTGCGCAATAGCGCTCAAATCTTTGGTTTACTTAATCAGTGGATAACCTTTAACCTTTTGGGGTTACCGGGTTGACCGTTCTTTTTTCAGGGAAGCTGAGGGGGGTCAGCAGGTGTTCCTTCAAACGCGTTTCCTGCCTTGATCGTCCCCGAGGTCATAGCTCTCAAGGAGCTTCCCTTGAGGCGCCTGAGCTTGCCGGGTCCACAGAAAGCATTCCGACATCGGATGTTTTAAGCCAAGGTGGATGATTGGTGACAAGTCATCCGAACTGCTACTACTTGCCACAGCTGAAGTAAGTAAGTAAGTAGGTGGTGATGTAGTGGTCTTACTTCCTTTATTCAACTACACCGGTGGCCATGGTGAGTTCAACTTCATTTGCAGTTGGTGGCCGCGCGGGTGACGGCCTTTGCTTTGAGAGACGGCCCCTTTAGTAATTCAGGCCTCCAGAAGACGATCGTCCGAACGAGAAAGCCTTTGCAAAGAAGAAACCTCATTGACCAAAAGACCTGCAGTGACTCACAGCCACCTCGTCGCGCTGATTCGACTGCAATGTCCCGCTTTGCCGGGTGGGTTTGGTTCGGTGTTGCGGGCGGTGGCCCTGGCGAATCCTGGCACCAAAAAAAGTGCACCTTTTTGTGTGAAAACTGGCTGTGAGTTACAGTATTATCATGATGCCCTTCTTAGGGACCGTGTAAAAGTTCAACGAAGTGGAGGAAAAGCCATCGAAAACCATAGAGCAACCAATATGTGTACACACACATATATATATATACCAAATTGTACTAATATTGTTTTTGGGAACAGTTCTTCTTCTTTGGGAAAGCGGAGGCCTGGTTCCAATCGGTTGGGTTGGTCGGAGGCATCGGTGGCTTCGTAGGATGCTGACGTTACGTCAGCAGCATCGGTGGTCTCCCTCCAACCAGCATCTGACGTTACCAGCAACATCCAGCATTCCGATGCGGCATCACCCCCGACGCCGTGCGCATCCGGCGTGGTTTGTTGCTCCCACCCTTCAGACCTCTTCCCCTTCAGATTCCAAGGTCCAGAAACAAGCTTCGGCCTGTGGGTGTGGAAGCCCAACCGCGAGTTGTGCGGGCCACCGCGAGATCGAGAGGTTCTCCTGGTTGGGTATACACATGGCACACATGGCAGTAGATGGGCACCTCACAGGTGTTTTTGAAGAATGAGCAAGAATCTGTAACTCTAAGAACTGAGGGGTTTTTGGGGGTGGTGTCATCTACAGAATCTGGAACTACGACCCACGGTAACCAGACAAAACACATCCATTCGCAGAACAACCCGGAGCTTCGGGGAACAGTGTTTCTTGACTGGGCTGGATTGGTGGGCCGATTTTGGGCGCTCAAAGGAGTGTTTTGGTTCGAGCTCCATCCGGAAAATCCCAAGCAGTGGCGAAAGCTTTCGACCCTGCTGTTTGAGAGCCCAGCGTATGTATGTCTCTCCACAACATCAAACTGATCCTCCCAATCATGGGCTACAAATTGCACGAGTCTCCTTCATCAGCAGTACGTTCTCCATGTAGACCTGTTGGTCCTGTTGGTTCTTGTGAGTGTATGCAAGCTCTCTTTCGTACAGCCGTACAGCTCTCGCTAGCAATTTTTCTGGGTCAAGCTACGCTTGCAGCACTTGAACTTCTCCACGTGCAGTGGCCTATGGAATTGGCTTGTCAAATTCGTGTGAATGCTGGTGGCAGCGATTGGGATGCGTTAAAAGCTGTTACGTGCATCTATGAAAATCTATGATATGAGAATATATGAGTGATTTACTCCTAGTTGCGCGTCTTGGAGGACGCTAAATGCAATCAGTATCTTCTTCATCCCACCTGGATTTTCCGGTTGATGTTGATCAGGACTGGTGCCAGGTCTTTTCGAAAACCCGTTTGGCTCAGTGCATCGCACCCGATGTCGCCGGCAGCGGACGCCCAATCCGTTCAGGACGGGCCGGGCCATCCGACCCACCCAGATGGTTCTTCCAACCGGGGTGCATCTGGCGCGGCAACGTGGTGTTTCTGGCGACGTGGTGTTTCTGCATGTTGGTGAGCAAGTGGGTGAGCATCCTTAATCATTCCTTGGTTCCAGCTTGTAGCAGTGGGTCAGGGAAGAAAGAGCCTTCAACTGTGAACCGGGCAGAGAGAGAGAGAGAGGCGGTTTGCGATGTTCATCTCATAGACTCCTCCATTTAGAGGCTTGGATTGTAAAAACTTCTTCATGCAGGGGGTTCTAGTGACTCTAGTGGTCGCAGCTGATTCTGATCCAGCCAGGCATAGCTTACATGGATCAGGTTGAACCAGAACTGGATCGAGCCGGACATAGCACTCCAACGCATTCCAACGCATCGACCTTCCTTCCACCGATGTTGTGATGAACTGCGCCAATAGGCTTCACGTTTGATATATAATCCCTACCCCCTTGCGCGGTATGAAACAGCGGGGGACGTCTAGGAAATGTAACTTACATTTTGGAAGGGGAAGGGAGGCGACAAAGCTATTGTAAATACATTTCTGGAGCTCCCCAATCCTTCAAAATGTCAAAATAAAACTTCCCCCTAATTATGGTATTTGCCTAGCTGCCTCTCCTAGTGTTCCCTCGGAATATCCAGGAATCTCTTAGTCAGTTGATTATAGTTGGTGGTATTGTTGGTATTTGCTGTGTTTTCTTGACCAGGAAAAGAAGGAGGGGGTGGGAAATGTAACTTCCCCTCGCTGCGTAGCAGAGGGCCCATACATTTAGGCTTCTTTAGGGGGTTTGCATAAACGTAAGTTACATATTTTTAAATGAGTGTATATGTAACTTCATCGACTTACAAAATCAAATACTACATTTTGATACATTTTGGAGGTGGTAACTTACATTTCCTGGAGGCCCCCCCTTACGAAACGGAAAGGACGATGTTTATTGATATATGAGCTTTGAAGAAAACGACGATGGTGTGAGAATTGGGCTGTTAAGAGATGTATGGCAATGTATAGCTTCACCATGCTTCACCCACTCGCCCGACTACCATCGGCTCGCAGCCATTTTTCGCCCCGCTTCGGGCGGCCGCTCGTTGCGGTCGACCAACGAAAGCTTCGGCCGATTTTCCGCCATGCTGGGAATCAAGTACGATATCTTCAGAAAGGTGTCTCGCTTTGTTGGCCTCCGCTTTTTGTCCGATAGTCCTGCTTTCTGGAAGACATCTTTGGACCTGCCCGCTCTAAAGATCTTGAAACATGCACTGTCGAAGATGTTCACTATACAGACATGTGTAGTGCTAGGTAGGTAGGCTTCGTGGCTTCCTGTTGCTCTAGCACCTTAGGATGAACAATGATGAACATCAATTTTGTCTTCTGGAAACCTAAGCTGATCCCCCACTGGGCTCTTCCTCCCCCAAGGCTCAGAGCTTCCCACTGCTGCGCTTCTGGTACCGCCGAGCCGTGCGCTTCGACGAGCGCTCCGGGCTGCTGACGGCGGGGCTCCCGCTGCTGGTGACGCTCTTCGCCGCCATCAGCGTGACGACGACCATCTTGGATCGACAGTTCGAGATGCGGGAGCCACAGTGAAAGAGAAAGGGGTGACCAGTGGTGGTGGTTCCGATGGTTTTTGATCGGAGACGGGAGAGGTAGGGTGAGGTGAAAACAAGAGGGGGAATGAGGGGGATGGTGTTTGGTGTTGTTGGATGCTTCTGGGTTTGGTGGCTGACACGACTGTTTCATACTGTTTCCACCTGCGTGTCCATGCAGGTGGTGTTCCCTCGGCCCTGGTCGGGGAGCATTTTTCCCAAGGACATGCGAGCGCGCTCCGTGAGCCGAAGAGAGCAAAGCTTGGAAGAGGAACATCAGGCCATGAGAGAGTTCCTCAAGGGCACAGAAGATGAGCAGCTCACCTGCGCGTGGCTGGGGTTACCCTCTGACTGACTACACATGGAAGTGGAAAAACCCATAAAAACCCGTAGAAACCACTTGTTTGGTACGATTCGCCGGAGAATCGTCATCCTTTCGCCATGCCATTTACATGTGATCTTGTTCGTTCGGCCGTGGCTTGGGTCGGCGGCGGCGTCCGTCTAGCGTTGACGGCCGGGAACGAGGACCTCCAGAGAGAATGATGTCCTCCAATGATGTAAAACCAATGATGGAGTCAAGAGTCATCCAAAACATTCCAAATACAGTTCTCTGGTCAACTTCTGATGTCAAGAGATGTCTTCTGATGTCAAGGTATGTTTCAATGATTCGACCTGGAGAGTAGAAGGGGCTGAAATGGCGGCTGTGTTTCTGCTGGCCTGCTGGAGAATCCGATTTGGGGTTCGGGACAGATTTTACACCACCAAACTGACATAGTCTTCACGGAAATTCCAACCCGTCCCCCCGGACCAGAGGGTTTGACCCACCTGCGGTCACCTGCGGAAAAAGCTCCCGGACCTCGACCAGCCTCAATTTTCTGAGGTACGAAATGAAGCAGATCCCCGACACCTATCGGATGACCCGGTGAAGGATCCCGAGCGGCAGCATGACTCGATACGGAGGGTATCAGAGGTTGTTGCTTACTACGACTGGGTGTCGAGAGACGGTTGGAAGTCTGCTCTCGGGCGCTCTTCCAGAAGGCTCCAGCACTAGAATCTTGTGCGAATGAGTTTGGCAACTTGACACCCAGACAAGCGATAGTACAGCCACACGCCAGTGGATAGTTTTGAGCTCCCTGGAGCAAAATGTGTCACCTGGATCAGCAAGAATACCGCCGGAGATTGCTGAAAGGTGGGCCGTGCGCTGATGGTGCGCAGACCGAGCGGCATCACTCAGAATGAACCACTGAAGCCAGGTGGTGCACCGGTGCACCGGTCGTCCCCGTTGGGCATCCGGTCGTCCACTGCCACATAATGCCACCCAGTCATAGTCACAGTCTAATTCGAGGTCATGTTCCGACACGTTTCCGTCGGTTGCCAGGAGATGTGAAAACGGAATGCCGCATGCGAACCTTGCAACACCGCGCGGCCTCGGATGAGAGCTTCGTTCTGCCTTGGTGGCGAAGGTGGTTCGGCTTGGAAAAACTGGCAATCATAGCAATGTGCATCTTGCGCCAGACAACAACGCCCGCGAAAGTGAAGAAATTGGGGCGCTTGCATGTTAGAGAGTCCAGGTCTAGTTGCCTCTTGCGCGGCATGTCACACGGATACCGCTGTATCAGTATGTGTCAGTGTACCATTCTTTCAGGTGTCTGTGTGTGCAGAGTATGGGAACATGGACCTTTTCAACTCCAAGGGATCCTGCTTTCCCACACTTCAAACGCGTGGCTTTTTGGGGCTGGATCCAGTTGCCAGTCACTCGTAGTACTCGTCACTCGTTCAAGCTGGCTTTCGACCGATGCTGGAGGTGCAAGACGCTCCAGCTGAGAAGCCAACATGTGGCCTCGATTCCAGGATAAATATATATATATATAGGCAATAGAGGGCTCAACCCTAAGCCGAAAGCAAGAAAAAACCATGTCGCGGGGAGCTTCCGCGTAGAAAGAACACAAGGTTCAAAAGTGACATCCTTTCAGCTGCCAAGGCTTTTCGGTCCACAGTGTGGTTCGGTTCAAACTTCGTTTCCACTCGCGAGCGGGTCGTTGCAGCGTTTCCATTCCGCTGTTGTGGAAGAAAGAAAGTTATCTCCAAGTTCCCTCCAAAGAAATGGAATGATGGCGACCAACCTGGCAGAGCCAGTTCATGGTGTCGGACATGTTGGTAACCGAATGGCTTCGGCTGGAATTCTTAGGAGTAAGCAAACAGTATACTACTCAGTATACTCCGCGGTTTCCCCATGTTCTTTCTTCCCCCTACGAGTTATTGTTCTGCGAGCCAAACTTTCCCAGATCACCAACTCTTCCTGAAGAAACACGGCCCATCCTGACGCGTACCTGAATTGTTTATCGCTTTTTGCGCCGCGAAACGCCATGGCTTTGAGCCTCCTCACTGGGGCTTTGGCCTTGCGCCCAGCGTCTCAGACTGCCTTGGCCGCACCCCCTGAAACGCCACCTGGCGGGCTTGTGGAGAATGCCCAGTACCAGCAGGTATTGGCAGTAGCAGCTTCACAGGAGCTTGGACGCTTGGGGGGTTGGTTGGCACAGTCGGATCTGTATCATGACAACTTATACACCCCCCTCTTGCCCCATGAGATGTCCAATCACGCCGAATAGGCCAATCTTCAGAATCGAAGTCACCCTGAATTGCTCATTTCTCTACCACTACCAGATTCCGTGTCTCTTTAGGGGCAAAGCAGCACACCGAAGTGTCTTTTCGCAAGGTTTTGTGGCCTTATTTCTGGCGCTGCAGAACCGCTTACTTGGTACAGTGCAATCTCGGCGGCTACAGTACAGCATGCCCAAAGACATTGCACAGTGCCACTTCAAAGGGCACGGTTGGGAAGCAGTCCTTGATACAATGCTAGAAAAATCTAGAAAACAGGTGCGAGGGCGGAGTCAACAACTTCGCCCTTCGTCAAAAACATTGCGTTTCCCTCATCCGCTTCATCCCCGCCAGTTATATATGTAATATATTAGTAATAACTTTTTAATTCCCAGACAGGGTGAACGTGGCCATTCCTGTAAATAACACGCGAAGCGGGGCCACCCACAACCACCAAAGGCAGGGCCGTAAATATCACGACTTTCTGGGCCACATGCGAGGTCACCTTTGCCAATTAAATACCACAACTGTCAGGACCACATGGTTGCCCATCCCATCCCAATAAAGTTGTGGCCAGTGGCCACAAAACTGCCGTTGAAATTTGGGGACCAGTCGTTGTGTTGCCCGACACCGACAAGTTATCAGAAAGAATCATGATTCCAGACCCCATGGTGGTCCAATTATAGCGGCTATAGCAGTGCAATTGTGCAGCTTTTTGGCTCCAAGAACAGGGCGCAAAATCTGGCAGGGCGGTAGCTTTCGGAAGAAGGGACGGCCCCATGTTGGTGACAATGGGCCCAGTTTTGGGGCCAAAAGTTCGACTAAAGAGCCCATTTTTCCGCGAGTGCTTGTATAGAGTTTTGCAGCGCATTGCTTGCAAAAAGTTCAGTTGCACGTCACTGGCGCTGTCCCTTGCCTCACCCCGCGGCTCTTAATATATCCCCGTTGAAATTTCCTTTCTAAAATGATGGGCCTGGAGGCCACTATAGGGCTTTCATTTTGTAATAAATTTATGTTGGCCATCTTTAAAATGATGTTACGGCCTAGCATTTTGTAGACAGGCGTGTTTGACACCTACGGCGCGCAGAGTCTTTTGTAGTGAAAGAAGGGGGGTGGGTCCCACCATTTTGTAATAACATTAGTTTACTATAGAATGGCCATGTGGTAGTGCAACAATTCATTCTGTAAGCAATCTGAATCACTTTGTAAGGCCGTAACATCATTTTAAAGATGGCCAACATAAATTTATTGTAAGGCCACTCAGTCGGAAAGTTTGATCTCCTCCATGAACCTGTAATGAAAAGTTGTTCACCCCGGAGAACTATGGGGGAACACTTTTTGTAAAGTTGAAAGGCCGAATAGACTTGATCAGTTTGTAGACAAACGGACTCATCTAGTAGAGAATAAGGAGACAACAAACTCTACAAAATGATGTCGTTTTTTTAATTCGCTGGGACGGCCCATCATTCTGTAGATTTTGTGCAGTTTTCATGTTTCTACACAATGACATACAGTGACCTCGAGCGCTGCATTTTGTAGGTATTTCATGGTTTGTCGTACTTTTTTTACACCCCTCATTTTGTAGATAGGTTCATTTTGTAGAGCCAAAAAGTGGTTTTTACTACAAAAGGACTGCCTCGACCCCACGCCCTGAATTTCAACGGGGATCTTAATATATATATATATATATATAGTGTTTACATACGTACATACATACATACTTACCAGAACACGACTCTACAGGTCACCAAGTCTAGTCTTCCAAAAGCCACCCACACTTCGGAGACCTGTAGAGTCGGGCCCGTCCGGCCCAGTTAGGAGCAGAGACTCTGCAAGTTTGGACAACTTCGGAAGCGACCGGGCTATGACCTCAGCGATGCTCGGCGTAGGGAGCAAAGTAGAGATTGCTCGTGCTCCTGACAGTCTCTTAGTCTCTACGAGATGACCTTCTGACTGGCACCCAAATCGCGCCAACATCGGACACCCTACTTCCGCGCCAAGGACCCCTTTGTGGTGGCCACGTCGGAGTCCGACTGGAGCGATCGAAAGCCACAAAGCTGGGTGTCACAGGAGTGAAACGTGGTGAACTGAATCAGAACTCCCATGAGGCACCGATGGGGCACTCCGGCTGCCGCCGATGTAGGAAGTGGAAGGATTTTCGAGATGGAGCCGACATGACCGACAGCGAAACAGGGCTTAGAGGAGAACGAAGATCCGACAGCTTGTATAGGTGTGAATGGGTGACCCAGGAATAGGTTTGGTGCTCAGAGGCACCCGTGGTTGAAAAAGGAGGCGGTGAACCCTCCAGCATCGTTCCATTGCAACTCCGGCTAATCGGCCAAGAATCACCTGCAACTGGTCCATGACCGAAAACGGAAGTCTTCGGAGCTCGGAGGCTCGGATCCATGACTTTGGCCTCTAAGGCAGGAAGTTGGAGTTTGCCGCACTGTCTGTTGCTGGCATTCCGTGCCAGGCTGGCAAGGGATGGAAATCGTAGGAATCCCTGATGCTCCTGGGCACAGCCACCGGGCGAAATGTGTTTAAACAAACGGTACCTTCCACGTTAGCCAGCTGCAGGTGGTGGGTGAAGCGACTGTGGTGGCCTTTCTGAAACAGATCAAGGTTGGCAAGGAGACTGTCGGCCTAAGTCGATGTGCACGCTGTACGCCAAACACTTCAGGTTTTGAAGCTGGAGATCTCAGCTTACGGAGAGATCGTGAGAGCGCACAAGTCCAGTCGCCGACCGGACCGTTAAAGGGTTTTTGACTGAGGCGGTACCCTCCCCCAAGTGGCGCATGGTTTTGTGGAGGCCCCCAGGTTGGTATTCGGGAATCTCATGGCCTTTCCCCATCCACTTTCCAGATCTTATCAGGACCATGACTCGGGGAGTGGTACCCTCCGACGAACACATCACATGGAAGTGGAGTTCACCACCTGTTTGTAAAGGATTTCATGCTCTTCCAAAGGCGCATGTTCATCCATTTTCCACTTTTCCCAGGAGTGTATATATGCGTTGTTTGGATTGGATTTCTATGGGTCAACCTGGAGCCCCTCATCACAAGCTGGTTGAGCAAGCGGAGATACCTGGAGCCCTCATCAGACCTTCCTTTTGCGTCAGGAGCTCCGATGTGAGGTTCGCTTACCCAACGGCCAAGTGCGAGACTATCCGCGCAGCGAGCTGCTGCCGTTGCCCACCCGTCGTCCCCTACAGGGGGATTGGGCCTTGGCAGTGGATGCTTCGACGAATGGAGGGGGCGGGCAGGATCTGATAGGCCATGGGCAGTGCCATGGGCCTTTCTCTTTTGGTTGGGATATTTGGAGGACCCTG